CTTGACCGGCTCAAAGCTCCATTCTGAACTTAAGCTGGCTTTGAGTTTATGCTTCCAGGATTTCCATGAGCCCCCAACCATGGCTGCGCCAACTTTTATTTTACCAGGTAAAGCCCACTGAACTGTGTCGTGCCAGTAACAAGATATAGTAATAGGTTTTACCCCTTTAACTGGCACAAAAAACTGACACCTTTATTCAAGGCATCATGTCTGCAATAACCACAACACAAGCAGTCAAAATGCAATATATTGCATCAAAGGAGGTCTCATAATGTAAATGCTCACCCCGGGCCCTCAATACTCTGATAGTGCGCTGTTTTTTTGAGTTGTACGCCTTTTGGCGTCTTCTGGTCCAACACCAATGGAGACTAGGCTCTAAGAAAAGCTGTCTCGGGTGTGGACCAATGAAATTCAAGGACAGTGCATATTATTATCAGAGTTGTCTTTTTGTTTGCATTTTGACTGCTTGTGTTGTGGTTATTGCAGACATTATGTCTTGAATAAAGGTGTCAGTTTTTTGTGCCAGTTAAAAGGGTAAAACCTATTACTATGTGTCGCGCTTGTTTCACAAGCGACCTTGCCACAAATGATAATAGCTTGGCGAAATGGCTTATCACGTGGACATGTATAGCAGCCAAATAATCTAAATGCATGTTTCTAAATGTGGAGGGAAAAACCGGAGGACCCGAAGACGCGACCACGGGGAGAGAGACACCGCAAACTTCAAATAAACATCAGGCGTCATGGTCTGGGTCGAACCCACGACTCCAGCATAGCAGGCGAGGTAGTTAACATCTTGCCACCGCTTTGGAACCAAGAGGCTCAAGCCAGAGCCCCGCCGTCACTTAAGAATGAATACGAACCTCCCAAGACATGGGAAGAGAGAGAGATAACTCGTCTGCGTATTTATGTTGTTATACTTCTCCACAACGACGCGGATTATTGTGTTACTTCATTACGTTGTTACCTTAAAACAAATACCGTATGTACATATTTTATTTATTGGTCCACTGCGTATCTTTACTGTGGAGAGTTTCGCTGGGTCTCATTACTATTTCTGGAGGGACCTGACAAACGTTTGCAGTAGGGGGCGATGATTGTTCTGTACGGTACAGAGTATAGCATTACAATTGAGTAATGTTTACAATTTGAACCATGATGCCGACACACAATGACCTACTCTTGCGGATTACACAAGATCTTTAACATCCACAGTGCAGACGGCGCGCATCTTGGTTTAATACACTTGCAGTATTAACCAGAGCAGCCGCTGAATTCGAACCGTGAACATCTGTACGAGTCCATGTCACCACCGCCTTTATAAATACTGTAGAACACCAATACCACTCCCATACCCGACAGCATGTTATTTTAACAATTGTAATGCTTTAATCGGGCCTGAAACACGATGAATAGTAGCTTGTATGAATCCGAATTTGTCATGGTTGAGATAGCATTGTTTCGCAGCCTTCACATGGGAAGCCGACTGTTTTGGATAAGAATGCATCAACAACGTTGGCCGAATTTTTATTAACGTGGAATTAGAGGGTAAATAATAACCATGCACGAAAATGTCACGAGAGAAGCTTTGATCACCTCGATTGATGAGTTTAAACACATGTTGAGAGCGATCATCTTCAGCTCTGATGCTATAAACTCAAGATGATCAACCCCAGATGTCTCCCGCCTGCAGATATTTGTATTCAAAGTGATACTTTTTGCCGAACGGAAAGATTAGGGAGGAATGCTCATTCTGACAAGCCCCACAGCAGCAGCATCACAGATTCAGATGAAAATACTTGGAAAGGTTTTATAGGTTTGGTTTAACAGTACAGATGTCCAAGGGTTGAAGTACCATCCAAGTGGTTGGTTTTCTGGGCGAGCAATCTAAGCACTGAAGTGAGATAGCTGAGGTTTGGTTGAGTGTGTTTTGGGGACAAGTTGTTGGGCCAAGCTGTATTGAAATCGAGTGGCCGCCTACCAAGGTTATAAAAGTCTTGGGCTGGGAAACACTGCTTAAAGGATCATAGGTATCACTGGTTCGTGTATTACGGTCCCCGTGTATCATCCCAAGGCATCTGTACTGTACTTTTATTTTGATTTAAAGCTTTCATGACTGCAGGGATTCATATTCTTGGTTCTTTCGGTAAAGTCACGTAGAAGGGAAACAATAGAAACATTTAAAAAACAATACAATTCTCACGACGTTTCGACTGCAACACAAGCAATCATCATTGTTGTGGTTTTCACACCTCATGATGATTGCTTGTGTTGCAGTCGAAACGTCGTGGGAATTTTATTGTTTTATATTTTTATTATTTTATTGTTTCCCTTCTACGTGACTTTACCGAAAGAACCAAGAATATGTACTGTATTTTTCGATTTAAAGCTTTCGTGACTGCAAGGATTCATCTTCTTTGGTTATTTCGGTAAAGTCACGTAGAATGAGAATAAAATAATAAATTGATAAAATAAAATAACACAATAATATTCTCACGACGTTTCGGCCACAACACAAGCGGCCTTCATCAGGTGAAGGGGACGAGACTGTCTGGAGGACAGCGCTGGAGTGAGAAAGCCACGTTGAGATCACGACCTTTAAGCTGTGTGAGAAGAAACAAAGCGCCTTGACAAAGGAATTAGCATATAATTTAGCATTGAAATGGATGAGTGATTAGCTTGTGACTGGTCACAGAAAAGGCTATGTTAAAGTTAAAGCATACACATCCGCAAGGCACCCCTTGACAAAGGAATTAGCATAGAATTTAGCATTGAAATAGCTAAGTTAAAGTATACACATCCGCAGAGGCACTCCATGACAAAGGAATTAGCATAGAATTTAGCATTGAAATAGCTGAGTGATTAGCTTGTAACTGGTCACAGAAATAGCTATGTTAAAGTCAGAGCATATACATTCACCGAGGCACCTAGTACAAATCAAACAGGAGAATTTAGCATTGAAATAACTAGGCGAATTTAGCATTGAAATAACTGAGTGATTAGCTTGTGACCAGTCACAAGCTAATCACTCAGTCACAAGCTAATCACTCAGTTATTTCAATGCTAAATTCGCCTAGTTATTTCAATGCTAAATTCTATGCTAATTCCTTTGTCAAGGGGTGCCTTTGCGGATGTGTATGCTTTAACTTTAACATAACCTTTTCTGTGACCAGTCACAAGCTAATCACTCAGCCATTTCAATGCTAAATTCTATGCTAATTACTTTGTCAAGGCGCTTTGTTTCTTCTCACACAGCTTAAAGGTCGTGATCTCAGCGTGGCTTTCTCACTCCAGCGCTGTCCTCCAGACAGTCTCGTCCCTTCACCTGATGAAGGCCGCTTGTGTTGTGGCCAAAACGTCGTGAGAATATTATTGTGTTATTTATTTTATAAATGTATTATTTTATTCTCATTCTACGTGACTTTACCGAAAGAACCAAAGAAGAAAAATATGTACTGTACTTGTTTCTCAGGGTTCGAAGTACTAAAGTAGCAATCTATTTGGTCCTGGTGTATTGGTGTCAAGGTACTGGTGTATCTTGTTCTTGGAGTCCATGATCTTGGATATATGGTCCCAGTATCCTGTTTTATTAGGGTCCAAGTGTCTAAGGCTATGAAGGTCTTTGGATCCCAGGTCTTGGGGCCCCATTCTGTCAGTGTTTCTGTTTCCCAGGTCCTAGGTCAGAGAGACCCGCTGTAGTATCAGAGAGACCTGCTGTAGTATCAGAGAGACCCGCTGTAGTATCAGAGAGACCCGCTGTAGTATCAGAGAGACCCGCTGTAGTATCAGAGAGACCCGCTGTAGTATCAGAGAGACCCGCTGTAGTATCAGAGAGACCCGCTGTAGTATCAGAGAGACCCGCTGTAGTATCAGAGAGACCCGCTGTAGTATCAGAGAGACCCGCTGTAGTATCAGAGAGACCCGCTGTAGTATCAGAGAGACCCGCTGTAGTATCAGAGAGACCCGCTGTAGTATCAGAGAGACCCGCTGTAGTATCAGAGAGACCCGCTGTAGTATCAGAGAGACCCGCTGTAGTATCAGAGAGACCCGCTGTAGTATCAGAGAGACCCGCTGTAGTATCAGAGAGACCCGCTGTAGTATCAGAGAGACCCCGCTGTAGTATCAGAGAGACCCCGCTGTAGTATCAGAGAGACCCCGCTGTAGTATCAGAGAGACCCCGCTGTAGTATCAGAGAGACCCGCTGTAGTATCAGAGAGACCCGCTGTAGTATCAGAGAGACCCGCTGTAGTATCAGAGAGACCCCGCTGTAGTATCAGAGAGACCCGCTGTAGTATCAGAGAGACCCGCTGTAGTATCAGAGAGACCCGCTGTAGTATCAGAGAGACCCGCTGTAGTATCAGAGAGACCCGCTGTAGTATCAGAGAGACCCGCTGTAGTATCAGAGAGACCCGCTGTAGTATCAGAGAGACCCGCTGTAGTATCAGAGAGACCCGCTGTAGTATCAGAGAGACCCGCTGTAGTAACGGGGTCCCCTTCGGACCCCGGGCGGGGCTGCGGGGTGTTGAGGCTGGAGGGGAGACGGGTGGGGAGGGGGTAGGGGAGGGGCTGGTGTGGCTGTTGGGGGTGGGGGTAGGGGGGTGGGGAGGGGGGGTGAGGCGGGTGGGGAGGGGGTAGGGGGTGGGGGTAGGGGGTGGGGGGTGAGGCGGGTGGGGGTAGGGGAGGGGCTGGTGGGACGGTTGGGGGTGGGGGTAGGGGGGAGGGGGTAGGGGGGAGGGGCTGGTGTGGCTGTTGGGGGTAGGGGAGGGGCTGGTGTGGCTGTTGGGGGTGGGGGTAGGGGTGGGGGAGTGAGGCGGGTAGGGAGGGTAGGGGGTGGGGGGAGGGGCTGGTGGGACGGTTGGGGGAGGGGGTAGGGGAGGGGCTGGTGTGGCTGTTGGGGGTGGGGGTATGGGGTGGGGGTAGGGGCTGGTGTGGCTGTTGGGGGTGGGGGGTTGGGGGGCAGGGGGGGGGCTGCTGTCGCCATCTCCCGTCTCGGCTCCGCCATCACCCACCCCACCCACCCACCCCGCTTGCTATCCGCCGCCTTGCAGCGGCGTCTCCTCTCGCGTCTCGGCTTCACGCAACCAAAACAACAACAACACCAACACCCTCGTCGTCGTCATCAACACCATCATCACAACAACCTCACTAACGCGAGGTAAGGCGGACATCTCATCGCTGCTTGGACAGGGAGCGAGCGAGCGAAGAGCCGCTCCGCCCGGAGGCGGCTTGGGGGAGGGGGAAGCAATGGCCGGGGACGCGGCGCGGCTGGTCGCCCGGGGCTGCTGCGGTTCCACCTCCGGCGAGAAGAGCTGCTGTGGCGACGAGGTGTGAGCTCTCACGCACGAGGAATTGGAGAAGACGACGACGAGGACGAGCAGGAGCAGGAGGAGGAGGAGGGCGGAGGCCAGCGGCCATGGCCGTGGCCGCCGCGTTGCTGCTGCTGGTGGTGGTGACGCTCGCCGGCCTCGGGTCGCCTCCATCCGGTGAGGAACTCGGCGGACTCGCCTTGTCTGTGGGTGCATCCCGTGTCTCTGTGTCTCTCTCTCTGTGTCTCTGTGTCTGTCGCCCTGTCTCCTCCGTGTGCTCTCTGGTTTGCTGCATGTTAAATGGCCGCGGCCATCTGTTCGCCCTTGCGGTGGCGGCCGGGCCAGGAATGCGTTTTGACGAGATGAAGCAACGGAAGAAGCCCTCCTCCTTCTCCTCCTCCATCATCATCATCACCACCATCACCACCAGCGTCTTGCACGCACCGAAACGCAGTCGGGGTCACTCTCAGACGGGTCACCGTCTTGCCCCGTCGGCAACGTCTCTCTCGCCCTGGCGCGTTGTGAATTTCACAGTCGTCGGACACGGGCTGCGAGTCGCACGCGTCCGCCGCCTTATTGTCCTTGCCGAAGCTTATCTCTTGAAAGACATTGCTTGTGGTGCGGTCGTGTCCGTGGGGAAGAGTGCTTCAACCCCCGGGGGCGCTGGTTGAGTGCACTTGAACTATGCATGTGTGTGTGTGTACGGTGTGTGTGTGTGTGTACGGTGTGTGTGTACGGTGTGTGTGTGTGTACGGTGTGTGTGTGTACGGTGTGTGTGTGTGTGTGTACGGTGTGTGTGTGTGTGTACGGTGTGTGTGTGTGTGTGTACGGTGTGTGTACGGTGTGTGTGTGTGTACGGTGTGTGTGTGTGTACGGTGTGGCGCACACTGATGCTAGGGTGGGTTTTTTTTTTTGCACGTCTCGGTCGGCGGCACACTTGTGTGTGTGCCGGAGCAAATTGTGTCGGGGTGGGGGTTGTGTTCAGAGTTCACGGGAGATTGTGATGATGGGGACTTGTGTGTGACTTTAAATGCTTGCAATAAAAATGCACGCGATGGTCATCGCATGGGTATGTACGTTGAACTTCCTTCGCACCGTACGTAGCCATCCGTGGTAATCGGAGGTGCGGGGCAGGGCAGTTCTTGAGAGGAATGAGTTTTCAGTCCAGATGGTTTAAGAGTGCAGAGCTCCCAGTTGCTTAACGAGACGTGCTGCACCACAGGTAACAATTCTACAATGAAGAAGTCAAGCAATATAATACACACACACACATTCTACGTGACTTTACCGAAAGAACCAAGAAGATGAATACTTGCAGTCACGAAAGCTTTAAATCGAAATTTAACATAACACACACACACAACTGTTACTTACGAGCACACAAAGCCCGTCAATAATACAGTGGGCTTTGTGGAATCTGCGGAGGTACTTTACATTATAAGACCGTTGTGCATTGATTCACTGTGAACGTGTGGTGCATTCAGTGATGTATAGTGTTTTTAGTGAAATTCCAAGGTTTTGAGTGGCAGCAGATCTTTGCCACGTATAAGCAAAAGTACATCGAATGCAAAATATTTACTAAAATTAACATGTTTGCAGTAAGCGGTTCAGGCCAAAACCATTCGTGAAATACTATACCGAGGGGATGAGTAATTGTCAGAGAAAGTCATGTTAATTAGAATAATATGAAGAGCAATTTAGTTACTGGTTTGGCATTGCGACTGAATATTTTCAGTGCAATATTTTCAGGAGTATAAATCACAATTTACATTGAGAATGCAATGTAAAAAATACAGAGGTATCTTTCGGGAAAATCCTACCAGTGATTTTAATAAACAACAATTGTTAAAATTAATCTGAAGCTATGACACGTTTGAGATATGAATTACATGCATGTTAGTCCATTGCGAAAATTGCCAATACCTCTTGAGATCTTGGTTTCTGATAACAAGTTACCAGCGAGAGTGAAAAATGTCTCCAACGTACAGCTAAATTGATATCTTCAATCCTGCCACCGCAGGCTGTAAATATTACTGTAACTGCATCCAGCTCAACCATCTTTAAATTGGGTTAGCTATTGACTAAAACCTACAATCTCCCCCTCAGCATGAGAGCACCTTCTGGGGAGGTCAGTTAAGAGAAGGCCATTGAGAATGCACTAGAATCCCTGTGGTGTCTCATTATGAAGATAATTCTCAAAAGAATAAAAAACAGATTTTTTTTGAGTGCTTGTCAGTTTGCCATAATGAGGATTTTTTTCTCGTGATAGAATAAGCTGCATGCGGGACTTGATGACATTTGAACTGGCAAAACACTGAACAAGGCAGCAAATGGTGGCTTATAAGAAAGCTCAAAATGCAGGTCAAAATGTCTCAACACTCGTACTGTTAGTAAAAGTCCCACTGTCTGGAGATATATAGCAGCAGCTTCCATATCACGCTGCCTACAGCTCTTGGAATTATTGCCCTTGGGTATTTTCAAATCATAACGTTTCTACCCATAATCCAAAGATCAGGAGTTTGAGGTTTCATCTTTTGCTATCAGTCAATTCTGTAAATAATGAGAACCCACCATAGATAATTATTGCACGGTTGGAAAACGATACGTTTCAGTGGGTCACATTTACTCATTTTATTTGATTGTGACTTAAGAAAAGATGATGACTGCAGTTGTTCAGGGACTTAGAATGGTTATTCTTGGGTCTTTTGGTAAATTCTTTAAGTCAAGACTTCTAATGGTTTTTGCATAATGTACAAACGCAGTGATTTTTTTTACACATTTACCTATTATCAAGTCCTGAATTTTGTTATTAAGCAAGCTAACTATACGTAGTTATACTCTTTGGTTATTTTGGTAAAGTCACGCAGGTAGAAAAATAATTGATCACAACACAAGCAATCGTCATCAGGTGGGACAACCACAGCAAGAAAAAACTGCTGAATATGGATTCCTGCAGTCACGAAAGCTTAAAGTCAAGATTATACGTAGTTATTCCTGTGCAAAATTGTATTTTATTAAAGTATTTGTGTGTTCATTCATAACTTAGTGAACAATATTTACAAATCACTGTTAAATACACTGACCAAAACAATGACATGAATTGGTGTTTATTTATTTACATTTAAAAACCATTCGGTGATAGTTACAACAACAACAAAATTTTCGATTAACATCCATACATTGCATTTCGAAAGTATCAGCAGTAAACAATCGCTTATATTCAATATGTAAATGTCACACTTTTTTGTGCTATCTAGCGGTGATACAATCTGTACGTGTTTATACATTTATGGACTCAGGATGTTTGCTTCATAGTGGATCTCTTCTATGTCAACATCTGCTGTATAATAATGAGACCACAGTGGTGAAAACCATAGGTTTCCATGGCGTTCTCAAATGAAGTAGAGCATGCTCTCGATTGACTGGTGGCAATTTAGCAATCCTGGCCTGGATCATTTGATCCTAACACCACCTGGAGTGCTTTTGCTACCTCATCATGGGCACCTGCTTCACTTGAAATGTATGGTTTCTTGAAGCCATTGTCTAGACATCCTGTTTGAGATACATTAACGTTGATTTAAATTGCAAAACACATTTTGGTTGACAGGTAAAAGAGTGGTTTGTCAGGATATGAGGTCCAAGTTTTTAGCCCTAAGGCATCTTAATGTAATATATATAAATTGAGAATGGTAGTATTGCAAAAATCACATTTGGCCATTGATGAAATGTAGGCCACATGAAAAATGTTTGATCTGTGTTGTCGATAACTAAAGAAACAGTTTTCATTTCAATATTGTAATATTTTTACTATAGGATTGAGATGGTAATATTCGGCAGTGCCCGATGGTTGCTTGCTGGATTGTTTTTTTTAATGAATGCTAACGGTGGCTTGGTAATTGGCTGAGTAAAAAGTATCCACTTCATTTGGCATCAATCTTCAGTACAATATCGCATTTTAATGTTGAGTACTTCTGGGGGTTGTTCGTATCTTGTAAAGTTTTGCTTTAATTTAGTCAAAAAATCAACAGTTTTGGAGGGCTGCTGGTAATTTCACTGGATTTGCACTTAATCATATACTGTACAGTATCCACTCGTTTGACCCATAGCTGTTGGATTTCACAGATGTGGTGCTGGAATAGTAGTTGCCATTATTCAGGCCAATTACCTTCCTGGGGATATGTGTTTACTTGCATAGGATTGGCTATACCATAACCGTACCGCACATTATGCATTTCCACCGGCATAAAATGGCTGTTGATAATAATTGGGTATATTTGTGTGTGCATAATTTGTTCGGCACTGAATGAACCTGTTCAACTAAATGTGGATGACCTCTTTTAAATGTGAAAATTGTTTAAAATCTCAAAGTGTTGGAATTGTTTTGTTCCTGTGTACTGTACTAGATTATGATCAAACAGGAATAGGAAATACATGTTATTTTGTTGCATAAAAGTGACTCCAGACTATACCAAACAGTCTTCTGACAGTCTTTCACATCCGTGTAAAATAGTGGCTTTGTATTTATAACATTTATTGATTTAATATTATGATTATAATTTGTTTCGTTTCATATCTTTAATAAATGAACACCATGTTATTGTTGTTTTATTTGGAACTTGGCCAAGAAGGCATCTTAACAAAATATATTTTCCCATTCATGAGAGGCATTACTTTTCTATGCAAAGTTGCCTCTCCATTAAACCTTTTGATTTAATGATGGTACAAAATGTCATACCTTAACAAATTACAATAAAATGTGATTCATGATACGATACCAGTGCAACGTGCATGCTCACAATACTCAGGCTGTGTTTAAATTAAATGTTTTGAGAACTACTGCTCGTATCACTAAAACATAGCTTAATTATATTCCAGTAAGAAACGCTGATACTTTTGCATTGAAAACAATTTTTGCTTTTTTGGGGATTTGATGTTGCTTTTTGGGGTTTAGCTGCTGTACTGGAATAATGTGACTGTTCAAGACGGAGAAGATTATTGATAATTATTTGTTAGCTTGGTTAAAATGTTTGAGATAGTTTGAAATTAAAGTGATCAAGACGCATGTTGTCCCAATAACTGCGGGCTTCTGTAAATAACAAAACGAAATGCACGTTTGAAATAATCATGGCATCGCGGTAAAACGTATCCTGTAGCATTATATTAGCCAATAGATTTAAATTTAAAAGCAACTGACTTGGCTCTGTTTTGCCACGATCAAATACATGAAAACACAGGCGGGCATGTGCTGAATTCTTGCCGCCAATGCCCAGGTGTTTAGCTTCAGGGTTTATTACTTTCTCTTTGCTGCCGCCAGAAGGGGACATCGCATGAGGTATGCTTGATGATAGATAATGTTTTTTGACAGCACTCCGCATAATATACATAGATCATACACGAAAGTAAAACATGCGGTTTTATGCTATTTGTGTAAACGAGTGAACATTTAAATGCTTCACTTTAGGGACATAAACCCTTAAATCGTGATGTATGTACGCTTATAACTTCATAGCTAAGTAATTCTTTTTAAATGTTAAATTTTTCCAACTTAATGAGTTTAAACGTGCATTTCGTTTTTTTTAATATTGTTCATACTTTTCGGAAAACAAATCGTAAAAATAACTTTGATTTATATTGCTCACTGTCTTATTACCTTATTTGTGACTTTGCCAAACAAATTTCCAAGTGACACCTACCTCTCTGATGAACACGACTAAACATTGAACTCTTTACACGTTTTGTACTTAAATGGCCCTGGCAAGGACATGCCTGGTTTCCGCTCTCATGGGGTGCTTCTGTGATTTTTCCATCACCTTTGATAGCAGGTTTGTCAATGTAGATGATCTAGTAATGGGGTTATAATGGTGGAAAGAGAATCTTGCTGCTGTCAGAATGGAAGACAGAGCGGCTTGATGCGCTCAGCATTAGAATAATTAATCTTTGCGTAGGCATTGGTCCAGAAGAATTGTGGGAAGGGCTTGGGAATAGCCAAAGGAATGCTGCAGTGCTGCAGTTTTCTAAAACCGTTGGCAACCAGTGATTAAAGCAGGCACTAGCTGAGCTTGCTTGTTGGAAGGCGGCCAACATGGGGTTCTTTCAGGGGACTGTTGGTTGCCGATGCTGTTTTGCAGTCTCTCCACACAGTGCCACAAACAAAACCTGATGTCCACGCTTTTGTATTGTTTTAGAGTGTGCTTGTGAGAACAAAAAAGTAATGTGTGTATACATTTAAAGGGTTTATGAAAACAAACATGCAATATCACTTATGATTATTTGAATTCAAATTTGCTTAGTGTATGTACAACATTTTTACAAATGCTGAACTATAATGCTCTTGTAACAAGAAAGGAAAATCATTCATGGGTTATATAATGCTTTCCAGTATTCGTATTACTCTGGCTATGTATGAATTTATACTACCTGAAATGACATGACTATATGGGCATTATCTGACAACATTGAACACAATCTGGAAAGTGTGCAAATAAACATGCAGAGGAGCACATTTGAAATTACATTGAGAGACACAGAGGAACAAGTGGATAAGGAACATATGCAGGTTAAATATATAATGACCGTTGAGAAAAGTAAGAGGGCCTTGGGCGCAGGATTCGCTGCTCGAAGGCTTGGTTTGTCGGTGGTCAAGAAATGCGATGATTGGCAACCGTGGAAGGGAAACGTGCTCAAGAGGACGTTCATCAACGAAGATGGAGCGATGAAATAATCTCTTGTGCATGTGAACTTTTAGATCATGGGATCGTGGGGGGGATGGTGATAGCTTGCTGGGGTCTTCAACCATCAGTAAATCTATCATGGCTGATGACAAGATGATGTCACACAGCACATGATCTGACGTCGGGAGCTAAGATGCTCGCCTCTCGATGCTTTTGACAGATAAAGACGTGGGGAGGCACGTGCATGGCAATGTGGCATCATCGCCTTTGCTGAAAAGGCGTTTTTTTACTTCAGTGCAGTTTTTCGCTCACTGACTTTTTGGCAACCCTTTGATCAATTTAGCTGATTTTCAATAGCATAAGTCGCCAATGGCAACCCAACGTTTTACAAAAATGTTATAATGGGATCATCTTTTATGAGAGTTTTTTTTTCACTGCCTTGCTAGGCAGATGGATTGAGTTAAAAAATGCATGTTTTATGGCATGGATAAACAGTATTTAAAAATACATGTTGCTGTAATGCATGCATGTATTGTTTAAGATGGCAGCTCTAATAACGAATAAGATTTCTCTATTTGTATTGGTTAAAACTGTAATCATATGGTTGAATGCACATTCAAGGGCAAGTCTTGGCCCTTTTTGAAACACACATAGCACAGAAACATAAATATATTGTTGGTGTTGGACAAGTTAATCGAACTGTTATAAATTGAATTTGGTTATTTAATCAGTTCAATGTGGTTGTGCAACAGAAGAGGACAGTCATGAAAATAAGGTAAAGTTCACAGACTAGTGTTATTAGCGGTTACATGCCAAGGTTATGCATTGATTTCAGACAGTGATAAATGATTTAGCTGCCGCTTGTCCCCTACTGTATGTGATAATCTCAAGCAGGGATATTTGTATACAAGGTGTTTTAAGTCATCTTAGCTGCATAACATATCCGTTGCTTGACAGTGAAATTAACTAAACTAAGATATATGAACATTTTAAAATAATATTTAAATAAATATATAGGCTCATTGTGTGAACTTCATTTTCTCTGATGGATATTGTTTAAAATTTGTGGTTAAAACAAATGAGTTGAAATGACTGTCCTTTACAATGTAGGACGTGATCCTCAACTACAACTTTGTAGAAAACACATTTACATTTTTTTACCATATGCAGTGTGTCTTCCAAGATGTATACATTTAAATGCTATCTGTGTATACAGTGAGTGCAAATGTATTTCAGTGTTAAAATCTTCGCCAAGGTGAAGGGAAATGTAACATTTGTTAAAAAAAAATATTGCCCTAAGGCTAAATATACATTCATTAAAAATCATTTATATTTTCATGGGGTTCGTTTGACCATACTTCCCCACACTGGTCAGTGCAGGGTCGTTGAAGGGAACACCTAGGTTATGTGCACGATCGGCAATCCACAGTGCCACTGCTTCATTCTCATCCTACCACTTCCATTTTTGTATTCTGATTTCCATGATGTTTGCATTTTTGTATTCTGACTGCAAATGTTTATTTTAGCCATAACAGTTTTTAAAAGTTTTTTTTTTAACTAAAACAAAACGCCTGGTTTAGGCTAGTGGCACATTTATCAGCTGTAAAATATATAAATGTATCTATCCAACAGTGAATATATTATGATGTATTTGCTTGCATATTGTTAAAACAAGAGTGTATTTTGACTCGGCAATGCATATGTTGTTCTTTCCTCGTGCAGTGCTGTGCAGGGCTTTGGAGACGGTGTGCGCATGGTCCGACTCCATTCCCAGCCAGAACCCTATTAGCTTGGGTAAAGACGATGACCTCATTCTCCCTGAGAACGGCACGGTCCTGTGCAAGGGCACCAGCAACTGCTTTGGGCTGTGGGCCAAGGAAGAGAATGGAGAGAGCAGAGTCCTCAAACAAGGTACAGCTCCTCGTACCTGCGTTGTTGGCATTTGCAAGCCAACTATGTGATCCCATCGTTCAATTTTTTTATAACTGTATTAGTTTACAGCATTTTGGCTTTGTCAAGCAGCTGCTGGATAGATGATGGTCTTCCCACACCGTTTGGGTGTTGTTTGAGTGGTCAAACCACGCTGCTCAGTGTAGGTTGATGAGGCTGGCCAGGAGGAGTTCAGATATATCGCATGCCACCGGTATTGTCCATTGCTGGCAATCTTACGCAGATCACAATTCATGAACATTTCTGCCATCTCTGCCCTGGTATATGGTCTAAAATCCAATTATCATTCGCTCTCAATATAATTAATTTTGAAAGTGCAGCATTGAATTTCTATGTTATGTTGATTAGATTTGTTCTTTCAGTATTGGGGTTGCTCTGTGCTTTACATTAGCTGAAGAGCACGGTGATTTATGTTGCATAAAAGTACATTTAAAAAATGCATGCCGTATTTTACAGTCTCCTTCCCAAAACCATGTGTCTTTTGCCTGTCTGGGAATGGTCGGAATGCTCCAGGCTGCTGGTATCACACGGGCGAGTCAAAAGAGTGCACACAAGATGCGTGCAGGGTCACCTCGCCTCCAGCCTTTGTGCGCAATGGGACCACACGCTTCTGCTGCTGCCATGCACACATGTGTAACACCAACTTCACAGAGGACTTTGCCGACTTGCCATATCTACCCACAGACCCCAGCCAGCTAGGTATCACGCGTGTGTGTGTCTGTGCGTGTGGGGCTCTTCATACTCTTTTTACATTATACGTTTGTTTCGCTTGCAACTCCACACTGGCTCCTTTGAGAATTTATTCTCATTTTCATCTGAATTACTGCGGTGGTCATTTCAATTAAATAGTTAATGTTGATGAAAGCATGTATCTGGGATTTCTTCAGTGACAGGTTGTGAATTTACCGTTTATTCCATATCCCTGAATAACTGCCCATGTAACTGTTCACTGGAAGAATATATGTGATACAATTGTGAAATACATTTTCACAGTTTCTATATAATTTAGTTTTTTTTCATCAATGTGGGGGGATAAAAACATCAGATACAAATACTAACAGGCATGAAGTGTTCCTCTGGAAGTGTGTGTTTCTGTAATGCCTGGGCATGGCTCTCAGTGCATTTAGCGATTGATGACTACAGGTGGCCACATGCCTGCCTTGCGGCTCAGAGGCTCAGGTGTTTCCCTCCTGGTATCTCAAAGGAATGCTTATTTGGCTGCTCTTAATCGTGCTCTGTTCAACCACTGTGTACTCAAGTGAGCTTTCCTGATATGTAAGCCCAGAGGGGGTTTTAATGGCTAGGAGTGGTCATTACTACACCCTGTTATGAACCGTTGCTTTTTAAAAGCTATGCTGCAGTGTTTCTGTATGTGTATACTGAATTGATAAAAACAAGCTTTTCATTTCAACTACTATAGTTATTTAATGTGGTAGTATAAAAGTATAAGTGAAGAAAGGTACACTTCAATTATTGGAATATATTTTCTTGAATGTCACTTATACTTAGGCTATGTGACCAATTACACTTAAGGAAATGCAGTGTGTGTTATTCGAAACATATAGCTTTCCTCCTTATCTCCAGTGATTACTACTGTATGCGTAATGAGCATACTTAACTAGGATATAAAAAGTTATATATATTAAACAGTTGCTTTACCGTTGATCCTGGTAAGCTTTTATGATCTCCTAAGAACAGCTATTAATTTCATCATCACCAAGCATTACATCCACCATTCTGGCGAATTGCCCAATGATGCTGGATGTAATTACCAGCGAAACGTCGTCTTCAAACTGTAAATTTTGTGGATTCACTCTTCAACACACCGGTGGGCTAAAGTAGTGAATTATTTGTCTTTTGTCAACGTGACACTTTTTTTGCTGATTGGCCGTGTCGGGTGGCGGAGGGTTATGACACATTTATAAATGACGCGATCTAACCCAAAAACCTTTTATTATGAATATTATGAAGCATCTATCCACTGGTGGATGAAGGCCTTCCCAAGCCATCACCATTAATCATCATCTTGGAGTGCAACAATCCATCTAGTAACTGTGCAAGAGCTGACTTCATTGCTTCATCTCTGTACACCCGAGTGATTCCCGGCCACGGAAAACATCTGAATCGATTTTGCCCCATCCCCACTCCTCTCACAAACCCACATAGAGAAGTATCGTCAAATTGTACTAGTATCGACAATTCATAACATTTAGTATCAACAATTAATCCTCAATACACTAACATCTTACACATGTAATTTCAAGTAATTCGAATCGAAACATCTTGCTTGAACCTGTTTAAAATAGTATAACTTATAAAGCTTGCTTTAGGTGTGACATTTATTTCATAATGAAGCACTTTCTGGAATTTCCTCCTTTGCGTGGATAGTGTTGTTTTGCAGTTTGCCTGCACGGTTTCATTGTCTGTGTGAGAAACGGCACTGTGTAAAAGCCCAAGCTTTCAGCCAGCTTCTGAGTCAGGCACACTAGACCCAAGGTCATGTTCCTGCACAATGATGTGTGCTGTGTTTGCTTACTAGATTAGCTAAATTGTGGACATTTCATAGATGCCACACAAGGCCACTTCTAATGATTTTGGTTCAAGGGCATTTTCAATTCTGCTACTGCTATTTAGCACAATTTAGGGAATGAAAACATTGTGTTGTATGAGGCAGACTAAAATGTTTTTACACTTATATAAAAAAAAAATGACATGGTATTTTTCCACAACTCGCCAACAAGAATACAATTTTGGAACACAGTACTCTCGACTATTTTTTGGGAGGTGTGGTTGGAGTCGTGGCACGGTGGTTAGCGCGCTACACCTTGAACCCAGAGAACCAAGTTCAATTCTCAGCCATGGTTAACATAAGGGTTGAGTGATATGTGAACCAGTCCTGCCACCCCCCATCCTCCTTTCTCCAACCTACACTGACAAACATGGTGAGGTATGGCAAAAACAATCCCATGACAACACTGCTTGGAAAGACTTTCATTCAGCAGTGCATTCATAAAGGGTCTAAGTTATTATATAACTTAAACAAACTTGCTGTGCTGCAATAAGCCACTGTGATTATATTAGAGAACCATATTTAGTTGCCATGCAAAAAGTAAGTGCAAATGGTTTATATTCCAACTCTGTCTATTCCAATGTGTAACATAGCAACCAGTTATTAGATACATTACAATATAATTATGACATTCTCCATTGAGACGAATCTGTGTGTGTCTTAACAGTGTCTCAAAGCAAGGAAGAGATGGTGATATTTACATTGGCTGCCATCTGTTTTGTGGCCGTCCTTACAGCGGCTGCCTTCCTGTTCTTTAGGTTGTTTACAGGTATTATGCACTATTTATTATATTATTTCAATAACGAATTATTTATTGAGCATCATTCATAATTACAGTAACTCTACAACATTACCTTGCAGTGAAGGCTTTTCTCCCTCTTGTAATTACTCGTGTATGTAATTTAGTTAACATTTTAACTCCATACTATAGACCTCGCCATGTAACAACAAAATATGAGTGCAATTGATAACATTTCAGAGCAAGAATATGAACTGCAGTCCAATGTTATAAAACTGACATTCTGATTTAATGATACCTCTTAACTTAAAGTTTCCGTGACTGCAGTAATTCATATTCTTTGGGTCTTTTGGTAAAGCCACGTAGATAGAAAAATAATTAAAAAAATATCACGACGTTTCGATCGCAATACAAGCAATCGTCATCAGGTGAAGAAATACAGCGGGAGAGCTACTGCCTCAGTGTATTTGTTCACCTGATGACAATTGCTTGTGTTGCGATCAAAACGTGATATTTTTTTATTTTTTTTTCTATATACGTGGCTTTACCGAAAGACCCAAAGAATATTAATGATACCTGTCAAGGTATATTGCCAACTGATATAGTGTCCTGCTCACATACAGTCGATTCTACATTATAATTCGTTTTGTAGCAAGAATCATAACACGTACATAAATATTGAATATCCCAAATATTTGATAAGTATTAAAACGGCAGTATACAGAAGGGTATTTTGACAAACATGTTTTGACAGTTATCTTCTCTTTAAATAATGAAAATAATAATTGTGGTTACTATCAAAAACGTTTTATAGCAGGAGAGACTGCATTTGTTTGTCACTCAAATACGGTATTACAGCTGTGTTGTTTCTTCCTCTCAAACCTCATGAGTTAGGAAGAGCAGACCTCAGAATCCTCGGCATCTAGCCCTACCGCAAGATGTGCTACTATCACTTTGCGACTGCAGTATTCCAGCCATTGTTTCCTTTCGATTCTCTGCCAATTGGTTAATTAAGGGAGGACAAGAGCTGACATGAGGGCAGGCCAAGTGTTTAGGTTGGTCTGGTGACTCATCTGTCTGTCTAATGAGGTTTGGGGATGACACGTCATCGGAGCATCGCTATCTCTTGATTGATGCACGCAAATGTAGACTTGTGACTTTATCTGTAATTGTTTATTCAAAATGCTATATTTTCATAGTTAAGTATTGCAACTGATGTTAATAATTTGCATGGTTCATGTTGCATTTGTACTGGTTTAGTTGAGTTAACATTTTAGGGTTGATCATTTTTTTTTGCTTTTGTAATATAATGGCACGAATGTAAATGTACTAAGCCTGTATGATAAACTAATTTACAACTGAAACAAATGTGATTTGCCTGCAAATGTCCACAGGAAACAGAAAAGGAGGGTTTCATAACATTGGTCTAATAGAGGCTCCACAGCCAGAGTCGACATTTGACTTGGACAGCCTCAAGCTCCTGCAGGTGTGTATTGTCTGTAAAATTAAACACATTATTGAGAGTGGAGGAATTTTCCACTCAGATCCCAGTATCTTCGACCAGAATAAACCCCACAATTTGTTTGTCCCAAATTTTCAGATGTTTTTTTTTGTCAGAATTGCAGTGATAGGCTACCAGTGGTGATGGCTGGTACTAATTTTAAAACGCATTCCTGCTGTAACTTTTACTGGCCTTTTTCTGATAAAACGTATGTTTTGCATGGATGCATTAGGAGATGTGTGTGTGTGTGTATTTTGTGAGATGCAACTTTTGTATACAGTTAATTGGTTTAACATTTAGGGCAACACCTCCATTACTGCTTGCTGTGAGGGCCGCAAAGTGGCTGAGGCTCTGCCCTCAACAAGCACGCTTTGGAATTATTTCGTAGTCATAAGATCTTCTTCCAAATGTATGATAATGTCATGTGTTAACCTTCCAAAAAATATGTTTTTGAATCACCAAAGCTGCCTGGTATTTAGTCTTCTTAATTTGAATGATTTCTATTGGGCGTGCAAATGAAAATTGTTACTTGACCGTACAGTCCAAAAATCAAATTTATGTAATTGATGTTATTGTAATTTGCACTTGTCTGTAAAATGAGATGCATTAAGTGTGTGTGTTATATTTAATGAATGACATAGACGAATTGTTTTTTTAAAAAGTAAGTCCCTGTTTGTAGTTATTGTCATTTAATTGTGACTATTGACATTCACAGCATTTTTTATGAAGGGTTAGATTTCAATATAATAAATACAAAACATTGCATTATTAACTTTCTATATAGTTATATAATTTTGTGGCAATTTAAATTCCCATTTTACTAAATGTACTTTTTTATGTCATGCTGTTTTTGTCACAGGATTAAAGTAATGAATGTGTATGACATGAACTTCATATTGCTCCTTGAATTCTGGAACAAATATATTTGCTCCATTGCAGCTATTTATTCAAGTTTGTGTATCGTTTAAGATAACGGAACATTGAGATGCATTTTCTATATATCAATGAAGGCCATTAGAGTGACCCTGTTGACATGCTGAGCACCGTATGCTCTGTGCTGTTAATATTTGTGGCCTATAACAGAATAATGGATTTGGAAGGTTTAGATTGTTGCTGTCCTATAAGGGCTGCTGACCTAAAGATTTAGGATGAACCGCATTAAATCAACCGGCTGCAGTCGTGTCCTTCCGTTGCCTTTGCACAATAATGCATGGGAACTGCAAACCAAATTGCCAATCAGTCCCCAAGGGAGAAATGTGGAGCACTTAGAACATGGGGACTCACTAGCTGCATAATGGTGTTCTTTCCTTACCTTTTTTAAATGTAAAGTGGTTATTGTTGCAGATATGTACACTCTTAAGTTTAAAAATAATTGGCTATTGACCATGAAATGTCTTTCCGACCGGACTGATGTTTACATGCAAAGCATTTTATAGGATCTATATTTACTGAGAAAAACCTCTGCTTACGCAGCAGATATGGAGCATGAATGTTTAAACATTACCACATCAAACGTGCATGCAGCTGTATTGTTGCAGTCAACTGTAGAAAGTATTCTTGGAATGCTCGTACATGTGCATTTAGAAATGTATTTTCATTCAACTGTGCCAACATTTTGACATGAGAATGTGCATTGAAAATCATATGCATTTTATTTATTGTTTACGGTGGAATACAAAAAATAGATATTGTTAATTTATGAAAATATTGTTAATTTATGAAGAAAGCATGAGATAAAATTTCATTAAAAATGGGTATTTTAAAAACTTAAATGAGTTTAATCGATTCGCAAAGATATTCCTAAAATCGACCAATTCTATTTCTCGTGCATATCTTACAGCATCTCTCTATGCTGTTCAGTTTTTGGTGGTTGGGTTTTGCCTTTTGTAAACCGCTGAGGTTTTATTTTAGAAATGTAAGCATTCATTTTTTATAAAAGCACATTTATGAATATTAAAACTTCATAAGCTGTGTTACTTGTATTGCCAGCTTTTAGTATGATCACATTTCATACTAATAACTTTTTAGCTGAATGGCATTGTGGCATAGCCCTCGCCTCAAATCAGCTTAGCCCATCATCCCTTGAAGGGTTGATAAAATCAGTGGTGATCCTATGGGGGGAGACTGGGCCTAGCCACAGCAATGTATAATTTCTACCTCTTGCTATGGACCATCATTAAGAGGAGCACCGCTTTTACTCTGATGATAAACGTTTATTTTAACTTTACGGCAATAACTAGCAATTATGTATTTAAATTGAACATCTTAAATACATGTTCTGAACTTTAACTGCTTATGGATAAAGGTCTTGCCCATGCAGTGTCGCTCAAGGGGGTTGTTTGGCCTTACTTCACGACACTGATCGGTGGCAGTTGGTGAATGTGGGGCCCGGGACCCGTTCTGATATCACTCACCTCTCGTGTTAGCCCATTGGCCGGGTTTTGGAATGGCTCATGGAGCGCTGCACGTTTTTGCAGGTGGTGGGGCGAGGCAGGTACAGCGTGGTATGGAGAGGATCTCTGGATGAGCTCCCTGTTGCTGTGAAGGCTGTCGCCGTTGCACACCGGCAGTACTTTCACAACGAGAAGGACATATACCGCCTGCCACTCATGGAGCATGACAACATTGCGCGCTTTGTGGCAGCCGAAGAGAGGGTGGCATCCGAGGGCCATCATGAATACTTGCTCATCCTAGAGTATTACTCTCATGTAAGGATCCACTTGCAAATGATATACATTTAAATGTTTGGTGTGTACTCATGCCAGCACACAGTGAGTTTTGTATTGCTGTGACATCTAACAATTTCCATGACAGTCATGTTCAAAACTATGGTATTATACACGTTGCAAGGTTAGTGGGAGACTTTGGGGTTTTCAGAAGGAATAACGGGACCATAGGATCAACTGCAGTCTGACACGAAAAAAAGGAATTTAGCAATAAACTTTGATAACTCATTTTAGTTCTTTGTGTTTTTAGGTTTTGCAGCATGTTGTTTGGCATAATGTCTGACGTTTTTCTCAATTTGCTGGCAGTTTTTAAGGAAGTGAATATAGAACATGTATGTTGGATGTGCGGGGGAAGGACAATAAACTAACATAAAGAAAAATGTTGGACATAATGTCCAACAACATGGTACCGCTCAAAAACACATCAGAGCGTTATGAAGCACCAATACCTACGTAGTAACGGTCATTCTCTTGCATCTGTTATAAATTTAATTCATATGTGAGAGACAAAATATGAAACATCTACATTAAAATTTAAAACAGATGATCTTGTGAATCACATGACATGGGATAGTGTTTACTGTGTATTTTTCAGAAATCGATTTCACAATAGTTTTATTTGTTTCCCTTATTACACTGGGGTAAAAGTGTCGAGAATAATAATTTTGAATGAGGGTTGTTTCATATTTTATTCTTAAAGGGCTCCTTGAGTAATTATCTTACCCACCATACAAGCGACTGGATGTCAGCAAGCAAGCTGGCTTATTCCATCACCAGAGGCCTGGCATATTTGCACACAGAGCTACAGCGGAACGGTGGGTGGCGAGTCATGTATACACAGTCTTGACAATGAAGGATAACGTTAATTGCTAATCCATAATTACATGAATCACCAGAAATAAATATTAATTATTAAAACAATAGTGAATACTTAAATACATTACTCCAGAATATTTACTTTAAAAAACCGTATGTATAAAATATTAAGTTTAAAACAAAACGTTTTTTTACTGAACGTGTTGTCTTCTATTTCTTGTCGACACAAGAAAAATAACGTTATTAGATCAAAGGACAATATTGGAGACTCCGTTGATGTTTTGCGTGCACTTTGATGTACAGACCAGTACAAGCCAGCAATAGCACACCGGGACCTCAACAGTCGCAATGTGATGGTGAAGAGTGATGGATCGTGTGTGCTGGCCGATTTTGGCTTTGCTATGCGGCTGACGGGCCAGCGGCTCGTGCGCCCAGGGGAGGAAGACACAGCTGCGCTAAATGAGGTACATCCTCCTTCATGAATAAACAAAACAAAAATGCATCTAATTTAGGTACATCTCCATTATTGCCCGATTCTGCATCTGCTTATTGTGAGAATTAAGTGTCGTGTAAACATTATTGTACTTTATTATGCTGATGTCAAATGTTAAATCTCGCGCTACTTGCATGATCATCGTCAACTTTAAATTCTTGGAAATGTGTGAATCTGTAAAGTGTTTAATTTCGGGTGTTTTGTCCACCGATAGATTGGCTATAGTTCATAAAACAATATACGTCCCTGCTTTGTCCATAACTTACAAATTATTTTTTAGCTCATCTCACTGTGGGATTGATTCTCTGTTGTGGCCGGGTCACTGTGTGTAGGTGGGCACGGTGCGGTACATGGCGCCCGAAGTCCTGGAGGGAGCAGTGAACCTACACGACTGTGAGTCGGCCCTCAAACAAGTGGACGTCTATTCGCTAGGCCTTATCTACTGGGAGATATACATGAGGTGCTCCGACCTATTCCCAGGTAGGACGCTGGTGTTGAATGAAGATTCCACCCACACTTATGCTGGTTCAATCCAGTGGCGAGCGATCTACTTTCCCTATTTCAAGTTGATTAACTTATGCACCTCTAGCGGGAAGTACCCGGCGTTGCCCAGGGGGAAAAATACATTTAAAAAAACTTCTCAAAACTGAAAAACATAACATATACAAATGCAAATAAAACTTTGATCATTACCTCATTAATAAAAAATAAAACCCAACGCGTGGTGGGAAAAAAAAACTTACGCTCGCGCGCCAAGATACGATTCTTTAAATCGAGCAAAGGAAGCGAAGGTTGTAGATTTATGTAGAATCGGCCTATTCCTGTTTAATCGATACCACAAACGCTCAGCAGATATCGATTCTCGCCAGTCCTGTATGCAGGTTGACGCCACACACTTCATGGTCATTCCCCTCCCCCCCCCCCCCCAAAATACAAAAGTATATTTTTATACGTTTTACATTGTGTACAGTATGGGAGCTAGCCACATGGCAAATTTAAAGTTTGCAGCCTAGTATATTATATCCATTATTGCCCCCCCCCACCAGCCACGCATTTGTGCGGGATGAAGGGCTTACGCGGAGGGTTTGGGGGGTAGATGCGTGACGTCAGCAGGCACACTGCGTAACACTGCCGTATGTGGGTGACATGACAGATGTGACGTCACCGCTCACTTGCGTGCAAAATATATCCATTATTGCGCCCGCCCCCCAAAATACAAAAGTCTATTTTTATACTTTTTGCATTGTGTACAGTCTGGAAGCTACCCACATGCCAAATTTCAAGTTTGTTCCATGTCGGAAAGTATGCTTAAACATTTTGGACAGACACACATTCACAAATTTCCCTTTTATATATGGATTGCTTAAAATATGTCATAACGTTCTACTCAAAAGATGTATCGAAATTAAGTCCCAAGTTTCCTTTGAACCTAATATTTAGCCTTGGGAGTGTTTTGGCGTTTTAATCATGACGCGCTGTTGTGTGTGTGCAGGCGAGAGCATCTCAGATTACCAGGCGGCATTTCAGGCTGAGCTGGGAAACCAACCGACAATCGAAGACATGCAGGTGCTGGTCTCCCGTGAGAAGCAACGTCCAAAATTTCCTGACGCATGGAAGGAAAACAGCCTGGTATGGAATCTCATGTAACGTTCATTGTCACAGTTTTGTTTTCTTATGGTGTATGTTTCTTAGGCTGCAAATGTGTCAAAGCTGTTGCAATACTCAGGCATGACTGTACTTTGCTCTCTAGTTTGTTACACGAGGGCAAACGCAATCTATACAAAGAGGCAATCAAACTGAAGCAATTGAAGATAACATTTGATCGCCCCTGTGTTTGCTTTCTCTTAATCACTTGCAATGATTTTGCTTTATAAGAACACAATAAATGTCTACATGCATTGCAAACTTGGTTAATTTGTAACAGCACAGAAATATGCCGGGAACATTTTCTGAAATTGGGTGGCGCTCTAGCCTCTTTGCCGGCCTGAGAAACACTTAGAATGCAAGTATAGCAATAAACAATTCCGTCTGCATAGTTTCATTGACCCGTATCCAGGCATGAGTGGCACACACTGGCCATTCATCGTCTAACAGCCACAGACATGTATGGAGAGAGCAGTACCCAGCCCCATTGTGTGGCTCTGCGGGGGATGGGGCTGTTGTGGGTTGTGATGGTCTAGACGTGCCCTGCTGGTTTTCTCACATTAGCAAAAGGGGCTCTGAATGGTGCTCGATGCCATTAGCTGCCTCAAGTGATAGGATTAAATCTTGATACCAAAACTAGTGATTCTAAGACTGTTATTTGTTTTCCAAGTTTCTGTTTTGTGTTTTTTATAACTTGGGGGGAAAAATGCTTCAAGTTGAAAGGCTTGCTCTCTTTCCATGTGGTTGTTCCATTAACCAATAGTGGGCCAATTTGCAGAGTACTTTTAGCCATTAAGTTAGGTTTGGTGACTTTTTATTTGCACAATTTTTTAGCATGATCGTTCATTAAATGGTTAAACCATTTGCCTGGCCGTGTGGCGTTACAAAAAAATTCGTAAATTGGACTTGGAAAGCTATATTTTCTGATTATCTATGAACTTAGAACATGCCGATAATTGTTACGTTTTATAACCTTGGTTGCAGAACATATGCGATGACGTTTTGCATTTATTTAACAATTGTACATCTCCCCGCTTTATTAAGCATGTGTTATTTTTATGGAAGGAAATTATTTAAATGCATTAACCTTGTGTAATACACACCTGATAAGAGGCCATTACATAAATCCACTGCTTGATAAGGGTCATTGTGCAGGTCTTGGGGTTATTTTCTTTTAACACGTAGGCTTTCCTGACCAATATTCATAATACAGGTTTTTTTTAGGTTAGATCACGTAAATATATAAATGTCTTTAAACCCGCCACCACCAGATATAGCCAATTAGTAAGGGTTGTCACGTAAACAGAACATGCCATTTCGTCATTAGTAAAGCACACCGGTGTGTTGGAGAGCAAATACACAACATTTACATCTGCGTATGATGTTTCGCCACTCATTACAACTAGCATCAGCAGGCGGACGGCCAGATTTGTGGAGAAATACTCCTTTTTAGTTCCTTAAATGGGTTATTTGCCCATACTTCTCACTGCTGAATACTGGTCATTGTCGGTGGGTGAAGGTCGGGAGCATATATTTGGTAGCATAGAAGTACGGTGGTAGCATAGAAGTATGGTATAATAATGGAATTTGCTGCACTTCCCTCTGCTGACCACCGCATAGCACAGCCTCGTAGCTGCCGATGACATCCTGGCGTTTCGTGGTGGTCACCCAACCCAAGCACTATGCACACACCCCTGAGATCTGACGAGATCGGTCACATTCTGTACTTTGTAAATTGTCGTGTGTATAACATTAACAGTGTTAGACTGGTTTCAAAAAAGGCTTCCCATTGCCAAAGCATCGGGCCCATCATGTGACGGGATGTTCAAAGTGAAATGGGGTGGTAATTCCTTTAGCCTCCCAAATGCCACTTGGCTAGGAATGCGCACCACTCCCTGGGCAATGCAGTGTCCCAGAATACACGTGTTTGGCGGTTGGCATGATACAATGTAGTCACTGTATTTAGGAGCTGGGGTGGGGGTGAAAGGCTGCCAGCATTTCCAAAGCACATGAAAAGCTATTGTGTTTTAGGGGTGAGGAGGAGGGACAAGGTGGGGGGGGGTATTAATTTGTATACAAACCAACCCATGCATTCACGAGGTGTGGGGGTTGGGATTGGCGTGGTGGGTGGTGTTGGCGCCCTGTGTGTATTGGATGATGGAGATGGGAATGCCAATGGGAGCCATTTTTTGACTCTTCCTGTGAGGCCAACAGAGAGATATTGCAATAACAGACGGCACGTTTCTGTTGAGGGTTTTCTCGTAAGTAACATTGCAAGGTTGTAATTATAACACAATACTTAGATCAGTTTAAGTAAAAATGAATATGGAAATTCAAGAATGATGTTACACTGTTTTTTTATACGAATGTGCTCATGTTATTCCTCTTGCATACAAAAATTATTGCTGACATTTTTAGCACGACTAGGTGATGACACTTGCCTGTGGTTAGCCACACCTTCACTGGGTTGGGCTTTTCGTCATCTGAAAGCACGCAGAGAGAGACCCGTGTTTTGCTTTTCTGCGGAGTTTTTTTTTTTATGAACAGTGATTATATATGTTGTCTTCGTGTTGGTTGAATAATTATAGATGAGAGATAAGGACATAAACCCAGCCTCTGATAAAAAAGTACTGATTTTGGAACAACAATCTTACATTAGGATTGAAACAAGTGCTGAGGGTCGTAATTTGGTAAACTGGGCAGTGCTCGGTAAAATCTTGTTAGACTAGTTTGGGATTCTGTGAGAAACGACGCATTGAAGCGGGCAGCCATTTGTGTTGTTGTTACGCATCGTGCGACTACAACCTGCTAAACGATGTTAGGTTAGCGCACGGTCCCTCTTTTACAAAAAACACAATCCTGCAGACATCTTCACCGTAATCATCAACTGACATGACATCCAAGGGACGACAGTGGTGAGTTGAACCTGGAATATAAGTGAGCGATTGATGACTGACACTTGTTTTTTAATATTTATTTTAGTTTATTAAATCTACTGTACTGTTTAATTTAATACTGTTTAATTTAATAGGTAAAGAGCTGAGGTTATTTATATACTGTTCAATAATGTTATTGACCAATAAATAATAGCCTTTACTACCATACAAAGTATATAGAAATGTGGATATGGGAATGACCAGTGTTGCTTTTCAGGTTAAGGCAATACTTTTATGTGGTCTTTAAATGTTGGCTTTGGTAATTGGGGGGATTTAGGAAATTTACCCAATTCAACTTTTCTACTGGGAGATCGAACCAACAACGACTTAATAAAACCCAGAGGTCGTTGGTAAATCCGGTGTGCTCATTACACCATGTGGCAGCATCTCTCCATCAACGAGCATCATCGGGCAAATCGCCCGATGATGCTGGTTGTAATTACCAGCGAAACGTCGTACTCAAATTGTAAATGTTGTGGATTTACTCTCCCAACACACCAGTGGGCTGAAGTAGTAACTAATTGGCATTTTGTTTACGTGACAAATCCCTTACTAATTGGCTGTCAGGTGGTGGAGGGTTACGACAGACACATTTATACTTACGCGATCTAACCCAAAAACCTGTTAACTATTCATACTTATTATTTGCTCTACAGGAATTTGTGTGGGATGTTTATTATTTATTCCAAAGCCTTTACAATACATAACACGGAATGTAAAGTAACATTCAACCTAGCATACCATGCTTTGTTTGATTAGATGCCATAAATCTGTATCCAGTAACTCTGGATCCCATTACGTTCTTTCCCAAAAACATTAAATAAAGAAACAATGTGGGAATGTGCACCATGATGAAACTATTAACCATATTTAATCATGAACATAGTGCATTAAATTGTCATCTTTTGTTGCTTTTCTGGGTTAAGTATGGCTTGCTAGTTATCTGCTGTTAACTCTCATTTAAGCTGCGTGTATTTTGCTTGGTAGCCTGTCGATGCACACCTTTACATCACCTGTAGGACATTCTTAGTCTATATTGTGCTTATTGCTTCCAATGTTTGCATAATGTACAACCCCATATCCAATCCACGTTTATTTTACATTTAGCAATTTTGTTTATCCGGAACAAAGATGGTGATGCACGTATGTAGCCAACTGCTAATCGAAGGGACGGAGGAAGGACAATAAACTAAACACAAAAAGCAATTCTATTTACAAAATGTATATAGAGCATGTATTTAATCTAGCTATAAACGATTATTAATATTACGAAGTTCAAATGAGTTTTTTTTAGCAATGGTAAGAAAAAGTGTTTTTACCTTAACATGGAAATGTGTACTCACTATGACATTGTCCATGTGACTGTTCCTGCGTCCGCTGTTCAGAACTCTTTGAGTTTCATCTGCGCATGTTTGCGGGCGGGCTGTGTGGCGTGCAGGCGGTGCGCTCTCTGAAGGAGACGATGGAGGACTGCTGGGACCAGGACGCCGAGGCACGTCTCACGGCCCAGTGCGCAGAGGAGAGAATCACTGAGCTCATGATGCTCTGGGACCGCAACCGCTCGGTCAGCCCCACCGTGAACTCCACAGCCCAGGCCAGCTCTACTGCTGTCCAAAACGAGAGGTATGGCATAGAAATAAATCGTCAGTAGCAGCAGCTGTCATGTTCTATCCACTGCTATATGAAGGCCTCGCCAAGTTATTGCCATCCTTTGCAGTCCTGCAATACACTGTTTAAGCGACTACAAAAAAACGTATTTCATCGCTTCCATCTCTGCAGTGGTTATAGTCTCCTGCTCTTGTTACCTCCTTGGCTGCCACTGCATTGGCAGTCTTGATCATTGGCCATCAATCCTTCTCTTAAAGTGTCCTGTTCAAGCCGCTTAATCTTCTTAACTGTATTCTTGTTTCTTTCGGTAAAGTCACGTAAATAGAAAACCAAAAATCCCAAAAAATCTAAATCAAAAAGAAAAATGATACATTTGAAATAATACAAATACAATAAAAAAATGAATAACTTAGCTGTCTATGTCTCTAGTTTGCATGTGTTCTTGAATAGTGTTTCTGTTTCTCAGTGTAATTCCAAGAGTGCATCTCTCACCGTGCATCTGTTTACATTTGTGAGCTTCCGTTTCTTTTCATTTGTCAATGTTTCTGATCTATACATCGTAACAGTTCATTTTCACTGATTGAACATACTATTCATGCACATTGTTATGTAGCTTTCATTATGAAGTTCAGTTCTCCAGAAGCGCTTCAACATGCCCTCGCTCGCTCATTGATTTTCTCATTTTTATGCCAGTCCGCCTTCAATAATGCCATAGCTATCCATACTCTGAAGAGTTTTCCGGTTGGGTTCCAGAAACAAATATCTTCATTTGTTAAGCGTGCTTAACTTTAGTTTTACTCCTATTTATATTGAGCCCAACTTTGTAGCCTTTATTAATGTTTAATAATTTCCAGACTTAATATACATTAGTTAATTATTGCTTGAAATAATGACTATCCGTATCAGAAATAAATATGAATGGTGTTTATAGAGCAAAAAAAACGAAATATCAAGAGACAATCAGAAGAATCCTGCATTGGAATTATTGTCCAATTTATTTTTAAACAGTGTATGTCACATGTGAATGAACTAAAGTCCCTGAGAAAACCCACACATGAGAGAATGACACTTAAAAGTTCACACAGATGGGTCATGAATCCCAACCCAGTGGATTTGAGGATCTGATAGCACATGATGAATTATCTGCGCTTCCCTAATTGTGCTTTGAAAGACGTATGCAAATATATTACAAATATACTCTTTGGTTCTTTCGATGAAGTCGTGTAGGTGGAAATACAATTTTATAAAAACAAATCACGACGTTTCGATCGCAACACAAGCAATCTTTATCAGGTGGAACAACCACAGCAAAAAAATGCTGAAGTAGGCAAGAGAGCTGCCGTGGCAAGAGGTTATATAGTTAAGAAAGGGGGGATGGATTCCTGCAGTCATGAAAGCTTCAAATCAAAATATTACAAATATTTGTTTTGCTTTCTTGTGCTTGTCTTATTGTATTTGTCACAAGTCCAGTCTTGTCACAGATGAGATATTTGTGCTCTAATATTTTATGAATTGATTATATCAAGGCGTTTTGCAATTAGGAATGTTACCACATTACAAAAATATTTCATGCCTGTTATTTTATTTATGCCCAATGAGTTGGTTTTGTTTTCCAGGAATCTCGCAAGCATGTGGCGTTTCCCACGACTCGGGCCTTTCCAGGAATTTTCATCATCTTCGTACATCGAAGATGCAGGGCAGCCCTCGGAGGGATTCCAGAAAAACCTACCCTCGGATCATTCCAGCTCAGGCACCCAGCCTGCCATTGATGCCAAGAATCGCAATTCCATAAACTATGAGCGGCAGCAGGCACAGTCACGAGCATTCAGCCCGGACACCAGCCTTACCAGCTTGTCAGCCTCACACACACAAACACCAGGCGTGCCCACCACATGCCTCAATCCCATCCTCGAGGTGGCACCAGGTGCCATTGGTCAGGCCACACGCTCACCCATTGTTGCACATGTGCCGAACCCTGCCTGCCTGCACCTTACTGAAGCAGACCTCAAAGCCATCAAGATTGATCCTAAGGAGGCAGACAAAAACCTGAAGGAAAGCTCAGATGAAAACCTTACAGAGACCTCATCTAAACAGTTTAGTGGGAAAGATACACTAAGCAGCAGCAACCCGAATTTGCTTTATCCACTTTTTAGGCTTGCATCAGAGTCCAGCACTCCAGCTGAGCTGCAGCCTCAGGTGTGTCAGGTTCCTAATGCAAGTGCAGAACAGGCATCCCAGCCCTTGCCAAAGCAACCCAACCTGCCATGTCGCCCTACTAGTCTACCTTTTACTGGTCTAGTGAAAGCCAGAGCAATACCACATGGAGACAGAGCTGGTGGCAGAGCCTCAAGCAGTGGGAAATGCAATCTGCTGCAGGTGGAAACGGGTGTGGCCAAGATGGAACTGCAGCATGTGGCCAAGGCACAAGCAGTGGTCATGATGGTTAATAGTAACGCTCCTCGAGTCAATGGTGTCATCCCTTCTTGCAGCAGTATTGCTGTAAATGCACCTGCCATGAATGAAGCAGCACTTGGTGCAGCAACGCAAGCACTTATGGTTGAGATAACTGCAGAGCCCTCCACGAGCACAAAAGTGAGCGGCGCAAAGTTTCAACCACAACATGCAGAAGAGAATGGCCTCAGCAGCCAACACTCAAGTCCAGATGAGAGCCAGCCATTACTTGGGCGGCCAGAGAAAGAACAGCAACCTTGCCCTGTAAGGGACTCCTGCTCTGGGAGGGATCAACAAAGCTCTGAGCACTTGGCAGCCGATGAAAGGGTTGCAGCTTTGCCATCCGGCCCAAACGTGCACCTTAATAGCAACAATAATAACAGCAACATGGCCGGGGTGGAAAGTGCCTCCACAATGGTAGGCGCTTCCCTGGATGTTGAAGCGACGTCGGAGAGGCCCCACTCTCTCACACTCAGCGTCTATGATGCAGATGCTGAAAACTCATCTAGCTCAGGTGACTGACATGTAAGCTTAATGGATTTTTTCACCATTTAATGTAGCACTGGTTACATTCCCTTTTGTCAAAAAGTATAACTGGTGTGTCATTTAATAAATATATCCTTTTTATTTGTATATGTAGGAAAAATTAGTTTTTTAAGATGTTTATCTTTTTTTACATTCATAAATGCTGCTTCATAAAACAATGTAAAAATACGTTTTTACTTTTAACTATAGTAAACGGAACGTGTGTTCATCACATTGCATTCATGTTTTTGCTATAATCTTGCTAGTATGACACTTGCATAATTTTTCATAACATGTGCCCAGGTGAAGAAAAGCCTCTGTCCGGTGAAAAGATCAAGAGACGCGTGAAGACGCCTTACTTGATAAAACAGTGGCGTCCCACTACCTGGGTCGTATCTGCAGATGCCAGCGGTCCCGCACGATCGCTGGGCGGCCTGAATGGAGCCAAGGCCCCAGTAGCTGCAATGCTGCTGGCAGAAGATGGGGGCCCAGTGGTACCACAGTCATTGGGAGGCAGCATGGTGTAAACCTGCTTGGTTGTCCCTTGTGACAGGCACGGCCTTTATCTGCAGCACTTAGTGAAATTTTATTTAATATTTAAGAAATAAAACAGTGATGCATTAGCAAAAATCTACTTTGACCTTGGGGGTTTTGGATAATCAAAAGTTCAGGTAATCGTGAATGGAATTGAAAGTTTACTTTATGATGTGATTGCTATCTGTTTGAGGACATGTAGTGATAGGTTAAGGAACTTGTTTGGTTGTCATTCAGGAAATTGAGGTACCTGTATCTTTAGAGCTCAGCGGTTCATTAGTGATGTGTCATTTCTTTGGTATGTATGGAAATGTGGAATTCCCTCAACATAGTTAAAATAGTGAATGTAATATCCTGTTGCCATAATGGCTTGTCCTCATTTACTGATATCATAAAAAATATCTTTTTAAACATGAATATAATTTTAAAAGCAGTGTCAGTTATTGTTTGTTTAGTAACTGTGAAAAAACTGCTTCGTAGAATGTTATTGCATTGTGTGTATTATTTTCATGGCTTACAAAAATGAGGCATGCATGGAAGTGCTAAAGTATATTATTTAATTCTACGCAGAAAAATCGTGGTTAACTACATGAAAATAAACAGCATAGCTATAAGAAAAAGTAACATTCTCATGCTAGTATAGGAATAATAACGAAAAATATTAGGATGAAAATATAGACGTTAAGATAATTTGCTTGTTGAACATGTCAACCTATTTCTTTGTTCTGTTCACCTGTCGTTTCGTTCTGTATGTGTTCCATTGGCCAGTGTGCACTTATTGCTTAAGTCTTGCAATGCCATACAGCCAGATGTGTAATGTTCGTTGACAATGTGTCATTCATGTGAGGAAAGAAATGTGAACAGTTTGTCATAAAATATTATACATGCTATATTGAAGCCCTATTTTAACATCAAATTTGCAATACAAGTGCTGGTTGCAATGGAATGAATTATATTTGCACATAGACATATGGTTAAATGTTATTGTAACAAACATTGATTTCAATGCGATTTTATAGTTGCAGAAGCTACACTTGGATTTGTGTTGCGCAAATTGTATCGGTCTGTCTCAATCTACTGTAGTTTTACGTTTGGCTTTGCACTTCTTTTTTACACATGTATAACCTTTAGTTTTTGCTGAACAGTGATCACTTTATGGGGTCTAAAACTTTTTTAGGCATACCTTGTTAAATTTAAAATTTGTGCTTTTCTGGGTTCTTAACTGCATTCGATGTGCAATAGCGATTCCTCTGCATGCTATGCAAATATTGCCCTGTTTATGATATTACTTTTTTTTGGCTACTTGGATACTAGGTACGTACATAACACAGGTTATGTACACATTGTAAATTTCCGTACAACGTATAGAGTAAAATTAGAATTGTAAAATATTTGTATTTTTTTATTTGTATAACACTTATTGAATTTCCCATCACAAGGAGGAAAAGCTTGTGTGATCTGCAGGCACTAAGGATGCAAAACGTAACCCCTCTATATATTGTATATTGCTGTTTATTTGATGATGCTGAGACGCAATTGTGACCTGCTATGATACATGGAGGCCTAGGTGTGTTAAAGTTTAGTTATACATTACACTACGTACTGTCCCACCTCTACACCTTGTTGTACAGTGACCATCTTAATTGAATTAACACTGTTGTGCTACTCTCTTCATTTCGTCAATTCATATTTACTTTCATGCAGTCTTTTTAAGCAAAAAGATTGCACTGGAACCTGCTCTGAAGAATATAGCATATTGGATCAACTAAACCACTATGTGACCAAATAATGCAATGTGCAGGATGATTTGAAACTGAGTTTATCTCATGAAAAAAAATAAGATAAAAATGCAGTCTGCTATATTTTTGTATCAACTCCATACAAGCTTATCAGGAAATGTGATGTACATTTTCTGACATCTAAGCCATGTCAAAATATCGTGTACAATGTTTATATCGATCGTGAGGTACCAAAACTTTGGTATGACTTCAGTAGCTCATACATTACTGTACTATTAGTCAACTGACTAGCTTTGAATTTCGTGTGTGGGTGTCACCTTGCTTGATAATTATAAAACTGATAGTCCTCGACCAACATGTGGAAACTCGGAGGATTTCACATTTGACTTTACTGTTATATGAATTGAAACAATTGACATGTATGAAGTTGCATAGTTTTGCCTCTGCTTTAACTTGCAAATAAAAAGGTCATGTTAACTACATTGTTTATTTGCATTATTACTAGATTATTTTTTTAAATCACTCATTTGGAGTTATAAATTAACACTTGTAAAATGTCCTTTTACAGATGCTGCCAATTTTGGCAAAAAATATGGCGAGTTTAAATCCTGGTTGGAGGTCAGCTCTGCCTCTTACCCCTCCGGCGTTTATGAATTTAAGATTAGCAGTATGGAGTTTGAGAAAATGTTCAGCCACACCAAGAAAGCTGATACGGCCAGTCCCTTGATGCTTCACAAACTGCAGCATTCAGTGAAAGTATTTGGAAGCAGTTCACTGCTGCTGGTCCAAAGGTTCTGTTCAACTTTGTGTGCAATGTGCCAATAAAAAATAACTGGTTAATCATAAAATACAATTGACTCGTGTTAGTTATATTCTTGGTTCTTTCGGTAAAGTCACGTAGAAGGGAAACAAAAGAACCAAGAATATGAATCCCTGCAGTCACGAAAGCTTTAAATCAAAATTTAGTGTTACAGTTACTTAATAGCTTTGAATTAGTGTTTACAATTATACAAATTATTTGGTGATGCTGCATTAGCAATGGTCAACAGGCACAATTAGTGTTATTGATTCATATGTTGGAATATAGGATTTGCTTTGCAGAGTAAAGTGATAGTCGATATTTAATAATTTTATAGGCTGCATTAAAGTGATGAGAAACTCGTATGGGGAACTGAAGCTATTAGTCATCGAGGATTTTCTCTTCCTCAACATACCTGACCAAATATTTTAAAACTAACTCTGAAAACATTTTTTAACTTCAGATGCTTTGGGCAATAAATGCATGCCATAGAATTCAACACAATTGGCATTTGGTCAAATGTCTACTGTTGCAGCTGCCTTAAAGGATCTTAAGTGTTCTACTCTTGCAGTGTTTGAAGTTGAAAAGTCATGCTCTACGTTCTTCAATAAGGAGGCCAGACCTTTAAAAGGGCATATTACCTTCAGGGTCATGTCCACAAGGATATTGCCATCCAACATGCAATGACATGTTGCTTGTGTGCTCAAGTCTTCCACAGGATTATCAAAGCGCAACCATAAAGCAGGGAGATTGAGTTGGCTTTCAATCATTGCTCACAGTCGTTGGTCTTCCACTTTCTCCACAATGATGCTACTGGTTACTGTGTTATTGTATCGGTTTTTTTGTCGAACTTGGACCCATCGAACAGAGTCCTCGTTTGTAAACACGTTAGGTCACTTGCAATGGTTTAAGCACGTTTGGCTACGTACGGTGCAAAAGATATTGAACACAAGGCTGATTGCTGCTGAGACTCGAAACTGGTCCAATTTTTCTTGTATTGAATACTTGCCGCTGAAATGATGCACTCTCATAAGGTCATGCGGTTGATATGCTGGGATAGATATGTGGAGGGATATTCTGCTGATTTATGTTATTACTTTAGGAAATGTAAAACTGTTTACTCAAACATTTTCCCCATAAAAATAATGAAAATTCAATGTACTACTGACAGTGTTCGTGTAACTAGCTGATCGCCTATAGAGATATTTTTTAACATTAACGTTTGGGACGCGTGGGCATTTAAAACGCAGGTTTCTGTAACAAAAAAGAGAAGTCCAAAAACTTTCCGTAGACATATCTTGCAAAAAGCGGTGTCACTTTTGGTCCTGTGCACTTCACACAAAGGCCCTCTTCTCAGTATTGTGAACACCGTCTGTCACTAGGCAATGGACAGCTCCTCTACTTGACATTGCCACTCTTTCTCTCTGCCCTGCTGAGTGGAGGAGTGTGCTTTTCGTGTGCGGGGTTACTCGTGCAACGCACTACGAAGTTCGCCTGATTCAGGTCACCCACAGGGAACTAAAGGTAAATGTGTGCTTATAATGTGTTGAACTTATTTCGCACTGTACATAGCCAACCGTGCTAATTGGAGGTACACCGATTTTGTTAATCGTGTAAGGAACGTCTTTCTGGGTAATTCAAAACAGTTGATCTTTATTTGAAATCTTCCTGTAGTAATAGTACACCTTGTACATTGCTTGTAGAACGTTTCCTCTTAATTCCGACATTGTCATGTGTTCTGTATAGTACGTATTGTGCATTCATTCGGAAGAAGGCAAAGTTTGGTGATGCTATTTTGATATTTCCGTGATTGTGAATGCGCTAAAAGTCACTTGACACAGCTTCACAACAAACGTTTCTTCACCAAACTTTGTACGTTATGTACATTTAATGCTGGAAAATAATCCACTTTGAAATGTGACCTTCGTGATATGTATTGTGTGCTGCACAATTCTTAGCTGGTGTCTTTAAGAAGGAACATTTATATAGATATGCATACCCATGTATTCCATACCTGTCAACCCCTTATCAGTGCCGACCTTATTACAGACCAATTCAGATCTTATTGTTCACCCGTGCCCTTATAAATCTCAACGTTCATCCTACAAAGTCCCATCACAATGGAGAAACTAACAAATATACAAAACATTTTCCCCATATTAAAAATGCTGCATGCCGTATGGACCTGAAAACTCAAGTTCCCTGTACAAGAATACGGGGTAAACCGTATGCGTTGACAGGTTTGGTATGCTGAAACACTTTTAACCATCTCTTTCTGCTGAGAAAAAATGTTTTATTTTGTTAACCAATGAATGCATATTACCTAATACACATTGGCTGACGTTAGCAAATGATTTGAACCGTACGGCCAACGTTGGCTCAACGTTCAAATAATTCCTGAGTACCTGCCGACATGGCTCAGCAATAAGTAAAGGTTTTAAACTTTCTTGCAATAAAACAGGTGTTAAGATGTTCAAACGCCAAATATAAACCTTTTGCAAGGAATCTGGCAAAAAAAAGGTCTCATTTATTTGGTAAAACATTGGACAGTATCTAAATCACACTGCAAGGTGTGTGAACTTGTGTGTACAACTGAGATACACATCGATGGGGAACATGGATTGAAGAAGACAGGCAAACTTAACATGCATAGTTTTGATCCATTAGAGGTTTTTGGGTTAGATCGCGTAAATATATAAATGTGTCGTTAAAACCCGCCGCCACCCGACGCAGGTTTGTCACGTTAACAGAACGTGGCCAATTCGTCACTAGTACAGCAACACCGGTGTGTTGGAGAGGCAAGCCACGACATTTACAAACATAGTACGACGTTTCGCCAGTAATTACAACTAGCTTTCATCAGGAGACAGCCAGATTTGTGGAGAAATCTTATTGTTTCGTTCCTTATGCGATGTCTTTGACCACCCTTCTGCGCTCTTGCTCGATGATGGGCAACGTGCATTATGCATGCGCATTAGGCGTTTTGATGTTCATGCAGCAGTGGATTAGAGTACGATGACTAAACACGATATGATGCATGTTTGGCAGTGTCAGGCGACAATTTATAGTGCTTCATCCAGCAGTGGAGATAATCAATGGATGATGGTGGTAGTGACTCCGGCCTCACCCCCGATTCCCTTGCCTGGAGAAGCGCTCGATTTCGGGCAGAGAAACTAGGAGAGGGAGGCACCGACCCCTCCTGGGGCACTAGGCCCCAACTGAATTTGTTTTATATGCTTACATAAAATTAACTATGTACGTACTGCATGTGCGTGTAAGTGTTTACGCCTCGATCACAAGTCGTGGGAGTGTATTCACGAGTGATAAATCAACTGTGTGACCCATTGTGGGCCCAGAGCTTAAGCATCGCAGTATTGCGATATTTTACGATGCTGGACCATCGATCGCCAAATCGTTTGGATTAAACGATTATCGTATAGAATGTATGACACTTCCGTGGAATGTAGATGAGAACAAGTTGTAAATGTATGCTAAACTTTAGAAATATTGATTCGCAACAGTGCAGACAATTGTACTTGGTGGTCCAGATGTCTAGTGACCCCCCCCCTCCATGTTTATTCTCCAAAACGTATAATTTTTAATCTCCAAAACTTAACATTTTAAAAGTGAAGCTTATTTAAAACATAAATTAACATGAAAAGGGAAAGCAATGTTAGGGGTCAATTAATTGGGGTGGGAGGCGGCGGGGTCACAATACATCTGAACCACCCGTGTAATCAAATGCCCGTGCTTGTTTGCGTTGTGGTTTATTGATCAGCATCAATCCCACGATGGCGTGGAGAGTTGCGGACGACGACGAGGAGGAGGATGCGGCGGCGTCATCGTCGTGGTGGTGGTCTCAGCAGGGTGATGCAGCTGAGAAGCATCATCACCACCATTTCGTCGAGATGCGTTCCCCTCTCCTCCACCAGCAGCGGCCACCGCGGCGACCCGCACCGCGGGCCACCCGCGGTAACAACAACGGCGGCGGTGGCGGCGGTGGTGGCCGTGCGATGTTTGCGGCGGCCACCGCGGCCGTGGCCGCTCCACCCAAACCGCGGGGGGCCACCACCCCCCACCGCGCGTGCCGCTGCCACCTCGCCCCGGGGGGCCCGACGTCGGCAAGAGGCGAGCCGCTGCCGCCACCTGGCGAGCGTCTCCCACCGGCGGGCGACGCCGCCCACCGCCGCGCGTTCGCAGCAGGGGCGGCCGGGTGCCGCCGCCACCTCCACCACCAGCAGCAGCACCAGCGCCGCCTCCGTCAACGCAACGCCGCGGTGCTCGGCGTGCGCGCCTGCGAGCTGCGAGGCGTCGACGAGTCGTCCCCTCCGACGGCGGGACGAGGAGGAGTCCTCCTCCGGATCGACAGCGACACCGCGCGTCCAAGTGTCGCGCGGCTCGCCAAGAATGTGGCAGCGGCGGGCACGCGTGGCGGACGGATGCCCCAAATCCTTGGCGAATTTCCGGCCATCGGCGGCGTGGCGGCGGCGGCGGCGAAAGAGCCGAGGCGTGCTCGCGTTGACGCCGATGACACAAGAGGTGTCGGCAATGGTCTGTTGGGAGCGAAATGTCCCAATGGGTTTTTACCGCCTCTCGGGCAGACGAGCGTCGCACCACAATGTGCGCGGGACGAACGTGCAAATGCCTTGAATTTCAATGTAAAATTACGTTCGAAGGCATGGGGTCACTCTGGGTGTAAGTTCTGTTGGAGAAAACAAACGGATGAATGTAATGCTAAGTCATCAAATAATAATAATAGTTTGATTGAAGTGAGATCTCAACCAAGGCTGGGTCATTGGGATAGAAGTGCTGATCAGGCTCTTGAAGAAAGTCTAGAAGTTCTTCGCACAAGTTCAGCATTGAATAAAATTACGAACGTGGAGGAACAAAATAAAAATACATGTGAACATGATCCCCATCTTCCTGAATGCTCTATTTCCAGGCGCAAGATTGTTGTTCAAATGCCACTTGTTCCAACATGGACATCCTTAACCACACACAATCCTCTGGACGAGCCAACAGATCTGGACTGAACCGTGAAAGTTGGTGCCGAGAAAGTAAATACCATTGTCACCTGTTCATTTATTTGTGATAGAACTTGCATTTGCATTAGGTCTAGGATGACCGTATATTAAGTTTTTGACCCAGGGTTTCCTGCAAAAGGAGAATTGTGGTGGTTTTCTATCGCGGGCTCGTGCCTGGTTATGTCTCTGCCTTTATGACATCAGATTATGAGGCTCAATTTCTCAAGATGTGTCCTGTGAATTGCACAAATTGTAAAATATTGTTATGGTTGTATTATAATTAATTTTCAATTGATGCCACTTTCAAAGTGTAAATGTGTCCTTTATTTAACTTTACTTGACATACAGTACATTGATTTACATTTAAGTCAACAAACATGAATGTTAAGACCATTTTAACAAACTTCATACAAGCAAAAGCACTGTCAAAGCAATATATATTTTATTAAGGCGAAATTATAACAAGGATAAATGAATTTTGATTTAAAGCTTTCGTGACTGCAGGGATTCATATTCTTGGTTCTTTCGGTAAAGTCAGGTAGAAAGGAAACAATAAAATAATAAAAATATAAAACAATAAAATTATCACGACGTTTCGACTGCAACACAAGCAATCATCATCAGGTGTGAAAACCACAGCAAGAACATTTTCTTACTTCTACGTGACTTTACCGAAAGAAGCAAGAATAAGGATAAATGAGTCACAAACACAATTACTGTAATACACTTACAATAAAAGGTTAAGATGGGGCAGTTAAGTGTTTGGAGTTTTCTCCATAATTAACTTCTTACGTTTCTTGCACTGCAACCAAATACACATTAGCTGATATGTAGTCTGTTTTTTCCTAAATAGGGTTCATTTAAACTTCATGTCACATGGTGACGAAGTATTTTATTTACAAAGGATGCTCATTAAACTTTGCTCTTTGTAAAAATGTAATATAGTACTATACAGCACTTTGATAATCCGTGTATCAGTATTTTGCGGATTACCCGCAGTTCGTGACTCCTCCCATAATCATAAGCTGCAGAATCCGCAAATCACTGCATTGCGAAATAAATGAAGTGCACACTTCAGTGTTTGAAAAGCTTAGTTGCAGAAACGCAGAGCTGCATTACTGCAGATAGAAACACGCGAGAACTGCAATTAGACAAAAAGGTGCTGCAAAAATAAACGCAGAATTGCAGATAGAAATGTAGGCGAAATATTTTTTTTTGCAAAATATTTTTGGGTTTTGCATCAGCACAGACAAGCTGTTAGTATAGAAAAACTGTTGACATCTGATTTTTACGGAACATCGAAGCCTAAAAAATACGAGAGAGAAAATACGCTTGACCCATATAGCAGATTTGCTTCATTTGGGTTTTGAGAACAATCGTAACCTCATAATCTAGAAATATATCCCGAATTGATGGTGCTGCGAGTCAAGCGACCCGTTTCCTTATAAGTCACGTGGATTAACAGCAGCCAATTCCTCCTGTAATCGACGGCAGTAGTCGACGCAAAAAAAATGTTAGATTATGGGAGTAACCTCTGCAGTGTCCCACGCATTACAGGTTAAGTGATATGGTCCCCATATCAAGACGGATTAATAGAGTTCTGCTGTACATGCAAAACCTACCCAAAAATCACTAGTTTCACAAAAATATTTGGTCAATATTTCAACTCGGACCTGAGATTTTTAACATTCCACACATGTACACACACTCATGTATATCTCACATATAATAAAACTATCGACAAACGTTATTGGCAAAGTACAAAATATTCCAAAACTATACTTGTGTATAAATGTGTATGAACTTCTATTGCACCGTACATAGCCAAGCATGCTAATCGTCACGTTATCTTGATTTAATATTACAGCATTGTGTAGTTTTGTCAACTGTATACAGAAACGCATTATCATTTGGTCCAAAAAGGAGACGTGACTCTGGTCTGCTTTGGGCACATAAGTTACAATAGAAGCCCTTATGTTTACTAAACATTCACTTCTCTCGTTTAGAAATGTCATGTCAGGCAAAAACAGTGAAGCAGATGAAAAAAGGAAAGACAGCAGGAATTTGGTATTACTCCATAAATGCTGAAAGGGGGTGAAAGCATGTTGAAGTTGCACAAGATAATCAAAGCTTCCTGGAATAGGAAACAGCTGCCACAGGACAGGAAAAAGGCAATAATCATAGCACTGCAAAGGGGGATATGAAGGAGTACAGTAACTCTAAGGAATAAGTATATTGAGCATTCCAATTATGGCATTTACCAGAATGTTGCCAAATTAGATAAAGAACCAGAATAATCCTTAAGGGAAAATCAGTGTGGATTTAAATCAGAGCATGTTATGCTCAGTTCTTTAAGGTAAAACAGCTGATAAAGAATTGGGAGTATGGGGGGAATTTTCGATTTTCTTGTAGACCTTAAACAAGCCGATGATTTTGTGAAGCGAGAGGTGTGCATAAGTTAGATGATTTTAAAACGTGCATGATGGGACTCAGGCCTGTGTAGACAAAGTATAGACATCATGATTTCATATCGGGGCAGGTATGTCAGGGTTGTATTCTGTTTAGCACTTCATTTAACGTTGTGCTTTAGTATGTATTCATGATCATCCATGGACTCAGCACAGGAGAAAACCCAGGAGTAAATAAAAGTACGAAGATGCATGTACGGGGCTTTTTGTATGCAGATGAAGCAGGTTTGTTGGCTGAAGTCATACGGCTGTTGATGACATTAGCCAGAGGCTGGACATTGGGGTCTGAAGATAAACTTTCCTGAGACAATTAATGGCGGTAGCAAGAAATGAGGCTCCTGTGGTAGGTTCACAAGTTATGTTAGCAGAAGACTGGGAGATGACTATTTCGGCAGTTATATCCATAATGCAACTTAGGCATATTGCTTTAGTAGGCCAGGTTTTTTTGATGAATATGAAAACCACTTTGGACGAGTATTTATTATCATACGCTCATTATGCTGAAGCCAGGCGATACCTGCTTCATCAGCAGTGTGGAGGGCCGAGACCACTGTTACGTCGAGTAAGGACGTACTGGACGTACTCGTCAGTCTGACGCTGACCACATCCAGAGTGGGTTGTCAGATTGGTTGCACACACAACTTGGTGGTACAGAACCTGTTGAAAAGAGCCCATAATCAACATGCCAGTTCGAAGCCAGGAATACAGTGGAGTTGGCAATTGATTCCACCGCCGAGTCTCGATGTGGCATGTTGGACCTTACGGGCGAGCAATGACAAGCGGGCTCATGGAGGGTCGACTATGTCCAGGTGTATTGTGAGACTTGTACAGTATTTTCACAAATCTTGGCCTTTGCCTCATGAAAATTGTAATGACAATTGTAATGGGAAGTGATACTGCTCAGCACTAACCTTAGTTACCAAGGTTGGTTACCAAGGTTAGTGGGCTGGGTCTTAGCATCCCTGGGAGTGCACACGATTGAATGCAGTTGGATGTCAACCAAGTTTGTGTCCAATACTTGGCAGTTGACTAGCAAAGGGTGATAACAGTTGTGCGAATCGTCTATGTGCCTGTACCCCAGGTTGAGCCGACTAGTTTCCTGAGGTTGTTCATCATTCCGGTTTTGGCTGCCTTCTTCAGGTGGTTGTGAAATATCAGATCTGTCCAATGTCACACACAGGTAGACTGGGAGATTGTCTCATTTCAAACACCGACCATTTAGAAGTATATTTCGATTTAAAGCTTTCGTGACTGCAAGGATTCATCTTCTTGGTTCTTTCGGTAAAGTCACATAGAATGAGAATAAAACAATAAAACTAAATAAGACAATAAAATTATCACGACGTTTCGGCCACAACACAAGTAGCCTTCTTCAGGTGAAGGAACAGAACTGTCGGGCCGAAACGTCGTGAGAATTTTGTCTTATTTTGTTTTGTTTTATTCTCATTCTACGTGACTTTACCGAAAGAACCAAGGAGACATTTAGAAGTATATTTAAATAATGGGCTGTGCTGGCATTGTTTAGATTAGTCTGAGTGTAAAGGGACATTTGAGGCAGAAATGCTATCTGCATTATTACTATATGGATCAGAGAGCTAAGATGCTAAGAGGCATGGAAATAAGTTTATCATTTATGGCGGAGGGTAGAAAGAGTTGGTGAGGTGTGGTGGCATACATAGGCATTGGCCACGATGACATCTTGATTATATCACAATTTTAAGAATGTGGCCTACATATACAATAAACATGTTTCTTGCAGCGTATACAATTTTTAAAGATAATCAATGATCTTGGCAGTAATGGTTGTAAACAGATTTAACCTGCATCAATTACTTTAGGCTATACATAAAATGCATATGCCCGAATAATGCACTCTGGCATCTTGCTGTCAATCAAGCTGCTTCTTCTTCTTCACATGCATTCGCCCCGTTTGGTTCTCCTGTACTGGCATCTTGGAAATCGTGTTTCGATGGAGCAAGGATGGTGATGGCAGAGTAAACTTTAAAAAAAAAAAACTCTCTTTGAAACAATAACAAAATTTTGAGGCTTGGTTAAAAGGCACTTTATATAACGATTCTTGTTTTGAAGCAATTATTTCAACTTACAATGTTATTTCTGGTTTTTATGTCTGAGAGTAGCTTTAAAAGCTGCATCATCTCAGATTATCATCAGAAGGCATGTATAAAAAATCGCTGCCCATGAGCTGTTGGGAAGGGAAGAAAAACTGTGACCCGTCACTTGATTGGGAATTCAGACACATCTCTTCCAGCTCATTACAATGTAGAACCTGTGCAGAAAGAAAGACACACTTTAAAGCATCTCCTCCCAGACATACTATCATGTAACAGCAGTTGTATAAAAACATTATTTTGAAATCTGAATAGGCATTTCTTATTGTGATAATTGAATGTTTTCATCAAGTGTTGTAATTAACCATATGCTAATATCTGTCAATATAAATAGCAATAAAGAGGACATCCAAGGACATGAAACTGTGGTCTAAACAATATGCCAAAGTCCTGTATAATTGTTATTACTAGATTATCCTATTTCTGTACGAATCAATTGCAAAATGTGTGTTGTTATACCTTACGCAGATTACCGTCATCTTTTGGGACATTGCAGCCTGGAAAAGCATTCATAGGAGTCACACCCAAATTGTGTCCTACACCTGGCACTACCCCTGCTGCTGCAGGAGAATCAGGCGGAGGTTCCATGGACGTGATTAAGTGGTGTTCCCCTGAGGCAAAGTTGCCCACCTCATGAGCACGTCCTTCCCCCCGGCGGCCGGTCAGATCATCATCCTCGCTGATGAGGTTCTCTAGGTACTCCATGTCAGCAGGAGGACGTTTGAGTCCAAGTGTTGACAGAGACTCCACAGTCATTAGCAAGCTGTCATCAGCTTGTGGTACTGCAGCAAGCACAGCCAGAGGGGTTCTGCATTCCATGTTAGATTCAGTTGGCACTTGTACGTGACTTCTGTTGGGCGAAGTACCTTTTCTGCTTCCAAATGATGCAAGTGTTTGTTTATGGTGATCCGTAACATCCTGTGAATTATCAACAGCTGCCAGGCCTTCAGCCATTTGGCGGGGTAGCCTTGTATGGGCAGTGACCTGGATGGAGTCTTCCATGTCCGTGCACTGGATAGGTATAGATTCAGGGTCTGTGACAAAGTAGGCAAAATATGAAATGCTTTACTGAATATATATAAAAAAACAAGTTATTATATACGTATATAATAAATGTCCAACTGTATTAATGTGTTTAGGTTTTAAAAGGTGAGTGCATGTCATTGAGGCAACACTTACAAGTAAATGGAGATTTTGGCCTCAGAAATGCCCTGAGCAGGTTGGACTGTTTCCGTACCACCATGTGCAGCTTTTTAAATTCCTCCTGCAGATCCTGGTAGGCAACCTCCAGCTCACTCCTACACCCATCATCAATTTGTACACGGGAAATTAACCTGAGTTCAAGTATATAATATACAGTAACTATGGGAAAAACATAAATTTTTTCATAGATTTTCATTACATTTGTTAATTATTTGGAGTTAAAAAGGCATTAACTTGTATTGTGGATTATACGCAGTTGGATATATAGATGTTATTCAATTGAACCACGTACCGTTCACCTGGAGAAGAACATTTCGTCCTAAACCTCTCGTGTACTGGCCGAGTCTTTCTTTGGGAGACTTCTGTAGATGCGACATTATACACCTGCACAAAATATTAAGAGTGCCTTTAAAGAGAGATCACGACTGTGAGTTTGGCCATGTTAACTATTATCCAGAATTACAAACTGGAACACTTTCTGCGTGATAAGAAGCACGTGGATCTGTAATTCTTCATGTATGTTTTGTCTCCATTTTGGAATTAAATAATGATTTTGGCACCATTCCAAGATTGAGGTATCTAATTTTTTTTACAAATATTTAGTAAAAAATGTCTGGTCCCTCTTATTTTATCCCCATCTGGCTTTGGAGATTTTGCATCTTCATACTAGAGAGGGAAGTGGTTACCTCTTCAGATGGGACATTTGGAACATCCTCCTCACCAAACACGTTGTTTGCTGGGTATATCATATTTTATGCTATAATCATCTGCATTACATTCCTCCGTTTTTGTCTGTAATATGCATTATATACTTCCATCTTCCTCTCGAATAATCTTCAATACTATTTTCAATTTACCAATCAATTAATTTTTTTCTGATTTCATGATCCCACCATTAAGACATTTTAGTTTTGTGTCGTCTAATTTCTTTCCTCATTATTTTCCTAATGGTTGTACAGAGTTGTGAACATGTTGTGTTTGAAAATGCATATATGTGTACATTACAATGTTTCCCCTGATTAAACAACATTCAAATTCATGTAAATGTAATATGTTGTATCAAATGAAAGCCCCCATAAAAGTATACATCATAACACCATGTTTCAGTTTATACAAAATATTAAAATGCATGTTCAAGGACATGACAGAACGAGTATATTATTATAGGCAGCTGTGTTATGTACATTACCTGCTCATATGGCCTGTCCTCAGCATAATGGACTTGCAGGAATGTTCCATCGTGTTAAAATATACCATTGAAAAAAGAAACATGACGTAGCATTAATCATTTATTCTATAACGTAACAATACTGTCAACACATGAAGATTTTAACATAAACACTTCCAATACAAACATTTAATTTGTATGTGTATAGTCATACAGGCTGCACAGTAACTATATATTTTTTAAACATCACAAGCAGTCCACGTGTGCAGTCAAGTGTCACATAACAGGCTGCCCACTCATTTTACACTTGTTGCTCATTCACTACATTCAATTCAATGCCCAAGCAAATATTTTTTTATAATTCTAGATTTGAAGCTTTCGTGACTGCTAGGATCCATACTCCAGACAGGCTCGTCCCTTCACCTGATGAAGGCCGCTTGTGTTGTGGCCGAAACGTCGTGATTTTTTGTTATCTTATTTTCACCTACGTGACTTTACCCAATAGAACCAAAGAGTAATTTTTATAAACCGTTTTTTTGCAAGCCTTTGCTAATCTACCAGTCCTGGGTTAATCTGACCATACCCTACCACACCGCTCAGTACAAGTTGGTGAAGCTCATTTTGTATTTTACAACCACTGTAATAAAGGTTTTTTTTCTTTGGATGAGATCACGTGAACGTGTAGTTAGACCCGCCACCACCCGACACAGCCAATTAGTAGGGTTTGTCACGTAAACAAAACGTGCCAATTAGTTACTGCTTCAGCACACTGGTGTGTTGGAGAGTAAGCCCACAACATTTACAAATCCAGTATGACGTTTGGCTGGTGATTACAACCAGCTTCATCAAGTGATAGCCATAATTGTGAAGAAGTATTCCTGTTTCAGTCTTAAATAGAGGAAGTAGAAAGGTGATGTCATCACTGCGGGCCTATCAAGTGCAAAGACCAGAGGAGGGTTAATGGCGGTGTCGGGTGGTGGCGGGTTTAACAACACATTTATATTTACGCGATCTAACAAAAAAAACCTTTATTATGGATATTATTGGTCGCGAATGCCTACGTGTTAAACTAAACCACTGTAGTCTGCACTCCTTCGACAGAGGAAGAGCAAAGCTACCTTAACATTGGCATTTAGAACCTGAACACATTGCTGACATACACAAGAATAGCATAGCCAAGTTGACTTATTATTTTAAAACTAATTTAACGAACACCAAAACATCAAGCTGATATGACAAATATCACATCATTTTACTCATGCATACATACCTGTGTTCTTACCCTCTTCAGCACGATGCTTCAATTGTTTACCGAACTCCTGTTTGGCATTCAGCTGTGCCTGTAGCCTCCCAGCCTCTTGCTTGTACAAATGAAAATCATTTTTCTGCAGGTGATATCATGTAAGAGACTAAGGTGCTGCTTTTTTTACATTCAGTATCTTAACAAACTTGTCTTTTGATCATTGAATGAAAAACAAAGCAAACCATAATTGGTGCACATTCGAAAATACCTACCGTTTTCTCTAGTTGTTCCTTGTAGCAATCTCTCTCTCTGCAGGCCACGCTGTATGCCTGGTATGCCTTGTTGAGATTGACATCGTTCACCACCTTGTCCATGCTTTCTTTGTGGTTGCAGTGATTCTATTCCACAAAGATACGATTGTCACATGTTGCTGGCAGTCTTGTATTTAAGTTGCGCTCCAAGACTGCACACAAGCTAACCATAATTTAAGCAGGTTCTGTTTAAATGTATATACTGTATAAGACAAACCACGTATTTTCCCAGTAAGTGTACTTTCAGAAAAGTTCAAGAACTAAAATGAAAACAATCATAGAGAAACAATTTCCATATTCTTAGCTCTTTCGGTAAAGTCACGTTGAAGGGAAACCGAAAGAGCTAAGAATATTAATTACTGCAGTCACGAAAGCTTTAAATCAAAACAATTTCCAGTTTAATCATCACTGCATTTTGAGGAAGCACATGCATGGCTCAAGAGGTCAGAGCAATAAGCCAGTTCAAATCTTGCCAGCTGTCTGTGATTAAACTGGTTAGTTGATCACACCAATAACTGCCAGAAAGTCATCATATTAAGCATTGTTTTTGCACTTGATTTGGATACATTCTAGCTGTAAGAATTACAAATGTTGGTTGAAATACCATGCAGTCTTTAAGGACTGTTCGTTCACACATGGTGCACGCTGCCCTGTGATATTCGTGGACTGTCTCACGGCATGAAGCCCATTGCACAATTGGTATACATTTGTTGGGGGGGGGGAAGACAAACAAATAAAAAAACATTGCCTCCTCTCTCTACCACAGTGCATGTTTTAAATCACAATCAGCTGTTGTGTATAATAGATTTCTCACACAAGGTTCTGATGCCTTACCACAACATCTCCAAAGGGCTTTCCCTGGACCAGGTGAGAAGCTGCACCTGCCTGCTGAGTGAACATTTCCGCTTCTGAATGTTCCTGTGGACCACAGTCATTCTCGCCAGACCTATGTCGTGGCCGGGATTCCATATCCGTTGTCACTCCAATGTACGCCTCACTGTTGAACTCCGTCATTGCGCAGTCCACCTGCAGGCGTATTGAAAAAGTTCTCTCAGCCTACTTAAAATCCTCGACAGCATCTTAGCGACATCACGGAGCTCGCATAAAAACACAGACATTCAAACAAGCCATCGGATGAAGTCCATCGCCAATCAATCACGAATCACTACGTCTTCCGTTTGCTGTCCTTGTCCCGTACATCCGAAGAGCACGGTTGGCTACGTACGGTGCGAAAGACGTTCAGCATACTGTACATATCTTACGGCTTTACAAAAAAAGCAAGTCCATAGAGTGCTTGCACAGGAGCTGATAACATCGCCCCATCTCTGCTGCGAACATTGTTACCCCCCCCGGGCATACTTCCTGCCTTTGGCGGTCATTCCATAATTAGTGGCGACGTGTCCCTGCTTAAACTCACTTACTTTCCTGAACACAACTTATCTCTCTTAACTTGCGTTTATCATGTCCGGGGAAAGCATCACTCCCCCCACACACACACAACATGACCAACATCGCAGTGGGGCGAGATAATGAGAGACAAAGCGATTGCTGGAAAGACGATTATGAGATAGCGAGAGACAGAGAGACAATGAGAGAGAGAAGACACGGAGGGCGAATCCCAATAATATCCCAATACGGTATTCGGTTCACTGGTTAACCAAAAGGTGCCGTGTTCATTGTAGAAATGCAGTCAGAACTTTAAAGTCGACACTCCAGTGCTATGCCGTATTCACACGAGTAATGTACTTGCCCCGGGCCTGCCAAACACACGAAGATTCCCCCATCGTATAACCTTGAGCAGACTGTAGGCGCAAGTGCTGTCTGTCAGGCGAGTCAAGCGAGCACCTATGAGGGCCGGCACCACGCCCGGCCGCCTTTGTCTCCCCGGTGATCAATGATCACACAACCCGCAGCCCGAGTCCACCAAGAGGAGGAGGCCCCAGTACCGGTGGGCCTACAACAGCGCCGCCACCACCACCACTCCACACGTGTGGCCCCTCACTTCCCTAGCCACCAAACAATTAAAATAAACAACCCACCCACCCACACCTCCTCACTGACAATCACACACCGACACAATAAAAAAAACACCCAACCCACCCACCCCACAAACAACCGAACGCAGTTCGTTTGCGAGCTCTCACGTATCGTCCTGGCTTGCTGGATTGATTGACCGACGGTCGTTTGAACCCGGGCCCGCCGTGGCCTCTGCGTCGCCTCCCTGCTGGCCCTCTGCGTCGCCTCTCTGCTGGGCCCTCTGCGTCGCCTCCCTGCCGGGCCTCTGCGTCGCCTCCCTGCTGGCCCTCTGCGTCGCCTCCCTGCCGGGCCCTCTGCGTCGCCTCCCTGCTGGGCCCTCTGCGTCGCCTCCCTGCTGGCCCTCTGCGTCGCCTCCCTGCTGGGCCCTCTGCGTCGCCTCCCTGCTGGGCCCTCTGCGTCGCCTCCCTGCCGGGCCCTCTGCGTCGCCTCCTTGCTGGGCCCTCTACGTCCGGTCGCAGACGCACGGACGGCGGGGAAGGCGCTCACGGCGGAGTCGCCCGCACCGGCGGTCACCTCTCGGCGGTGTCGTCGTCCACCACCACCACCCCCCTCTTCTACTGTGGGGGGCTCAGCTGACGCTAGATCAGTCGTCGTCGTAGCTGCTGCTGCTGCTGTGAGTCGTGTAGGGAGCTGGAGACGCGAGTGGAAGCGGCGTGAGGCCTCCCCACCCCCCCCACGCCTCCTCCTCCTCCGGCCCGGGGTATTCCCGGCCGTGCGTGGCTGTGGGTGGGTTGGGGTGGTGCCGCCACCGCCGCCGCCGCCCAGAATAGCAACGGGGAAATTCCCCGACCGAAACTTTTCACCACCGCCGCCACCAGCACCAGCAACTACAACTACCACCACTACTACCAGCCAGCCAGCAAACAGCACGAGTTGTAAAGAGGAACTTGTGTGAAGAAAACACCCCACGTTGCACACAAAGACAAAGATAATCACCACCACCCACGTGTAGCCTGTAACAGACCGTGGTGGGGGGGGGGCACGTGGATGTTCGTAGCGAGGAGAAAATCGATGAAGGCCGCCGCTACTGTGACACACGAAGAGGTGGCCAATACCACGGCCGGCCGCCTTTGTCTCACCCCCCCCCCCCCCCCGGAGTGGCGATGTTTACCCACCGCACCAGGTACTCAATTGAGACTGAGTCGACCTAGGGAAAGGCCCAGGGACCGGTTCAGATAATCGATACTGGTGTTTGCCGTGGGGTTATGAGTTGTGAAGAGGAACTGTATGAAGACCTCCCCCCACCCACACAAGGCCACCAACAACACAGGCACGGCACCTCCTCCCATCTTCTCTGTGCGATACAATGCTATGCTGTCAACTTGCACCGATCCCCGTCATAGGAATGTGGAATTGCCCACCGTTGGTGCGGGGACGACGAACATAGATGAGCGTAGGTCTCGCTTGAGAGAAATATGCGCGGGATTGGGGGGAAGCACTAATGCAACGTTTCCCCCCCAATCCTAATGTTAAATTGCCCCCCCCAATCCTAATGTTAAATTGCCCCCCCCAATCCTAATGCTAAGTTGCCCCCCAATCCTCGTATTACGTTGCCCCCCCAAATCCTAATGTAAAGTTGCCCCCCAATCCTAATGTAAATTTGCCCCCCAATCCTCGTGTTAAGTTGCCCCCCCGATCCTAATGTTAAGTTGCCCCCCAATCCTAATGCTGAGCTGCCCCCCCAATCCTAATATTAAGTTGCCCCCCAATCCTAATGTTAAGTTGCCCCCCAATCATAATATTAAGTTGCCCCCCCAATCCTCGTGTTAAGTTGCCCCCCAATCCTCGTGTTAAGTTGCCCCCCAATCCTAATATTAAGTTGCCCCCCCAATCCTAATATTAAGTTGCCCCCCCAATCCTAATATTAAGTTGCCCCCCCCAATCCTAATATTAAGTTGCCCCCCAATCCTAATATTAAGTTGCCCCCCAATCCTCGTGTTAAGTTGCCCCCCCAATCCTAATATTAAGTTGCCCCCCAATCGTAATATTAAGTTGCCCCCCAATCCTAATGCTAAGTTGCCCCCCAATCCTAATATTAAGTTGCCCCCCCAATCCTAATATTAAGTTGCCCCCCAATCCTAATATTAAGTTGCCCCCAATCCTAATATTAAGTTGCCCCCCAATCGTAATATTAAGTTGCCCCCCAATCCTAATATTAAGTTGCCCCCCAATCCTAATATTAAGTTGCCCCCCAATCCTAATATTAAGTTGCCCCCAATCCTAATGTTAAGTTGCCCCCCAATCCTAATATTAAGTTGCCCCCCAATCCTAATATTAAGCTGCCCCCCAATCATAATATTAAGTTGCCCCCCAATCCTAATATTAAGTTGCCCCCAATCCTAATATTAAGTTGCCCCCCAATCCTCGTGTTAAGTTGCCCCCCCCAATCCTAATGCTAAGTTGCCCCCCCAATCCTAATGTTAAGTTGCCCCCCCCAATCCTAATATTAAGTTGCCCCCCCAATCCTAATGTTAAGTTGCCCCCCCCCATCCCTCGCATCTTGTTCTATTATTGAAAATGGTCATCAGATGGAGCAATACAATTATAATAATTTGGGAGTGCCGACGGTGATGTAAACTTGGTGGTGTCACGCTGCACTTACAAGTGGTTGCCGTTTCGATCTCCCGGCGAGGCCTGCGACCCAATGCAGTTGTACTCAAGCATTTATTTTTTAAACGTCGTTCATGCAAATTACCCCTCGTTACGGATATAAAACATTACGAGACACGTGGACGTTTATTGGGCAGCATCTCACAATAACCCCGTGCTGTCCTCCACTCGGCAATGTAAATGGGCACACGATCAGCGAATTAAAAATCGTCGGGTGGTGGGGTAAAGCGTGGTCACGTCCCACCTCTTTCAGGTCTGAAGGAAGACTCCACCTGCTCCTGCACTCTGGACAAGAGGGATCTTGGAGCGAGAGACAGAGAGCGTTCCAGACAGCGCCCTCTAGTTTCGGCTCTTCCACCAACGATGCCGCAAGCTTGACCCGTCAAGGCGCATGACACGAGCAGGCAACTCGCCACCCCCCCCCCCCACCACTGGTCCGACACACACACACAACAAAAACCATTGACCCCCATCGCCTCGCTGGACGCTCATGCCCTCGGACCAGCGGAGTTCTTCATCGCGAGGCACGCCCTGGGGTCACTGGCAGATCGCCGATGGCCTTTCACTGCGAGGCCCCGAGCGCAGCCCGTCAATGCTGTCAAACCAACAAGTGCCCCCCCCCCCCCCCATCTGAAAATGAGTGAAGAACACAGCCCGAGAACACCACCAACCCCCCACATTCTGGGGGAGGGGGCCCAGCGCTCCGCACTCTGAATGCTGGAAGTGGTGGGGGGGGGGGGCTGGAGAAGAGGGGGGGGGGGCTGAAGGGGAGAACTGGGGGAGAAGAGGGGGGGCTTGGGGTGGGGCTTGAGGGGGGAACTGGGGGAGAAGGGGGGGCTTGGGGGAGGGCTTCAGGGGAGACCAAGGGGAGAGGGGGGGCTTGGGGGGAACTGGTAGATAAGAGGGGGGCTTGGGGGAGGAGTGGGGCGTGACGGGGGGGGGGGCTGGGAGAGAATTGGGGGGGACTCGGGGGGGGGGTGCTGGAGAAGCGGGGGGGGTGGGGACTTGGGGGGGGGGGGGACTGGAGAAAATATCTTCAGCCTTCCACCTCGGCCTCATGGTGCCAGTGAAGTGACTTAGGCTACATTGTAATTGTTCCGCTGTATAATTGTTTACTGTATGTCAGGCATCCCCTACAATCCCGGAGGCTTGCCCCTACTTAGCCCAGCTTCCAGATGTCTGAACCATTCGTGTTAAAGGGTGGCACTTAGCTGCGCTTCCAATAACGTTGTGTATTATGCACTGGAACCAATCAAAACTTAGGGGCCGTCCATAAATGACGTCACGCGATTTTGGACGATTTTTGACCCCCCCCCCTCGTCACACGGCGTCACAAGTCAGACCCCCTCAAATGACGTCACAAAGCTCTGCCCCCCCCCCATCCAAAACCATATTTCCATTTTGAAAATAAAACATGCTTCAAATCGCTTTAAACTATTGTCAGTGCGTATTTAATGTGGCGCTGCACTCTGATGTTGAAGGAGAAAACATTTATTAAAAAGTCTATTTAAGAAGAACGTGTTGTCTATATTTATTTAAAGTTGCGCATTTTGGTGTGACGTCACATTTCTCAAACCCCCCCCCCCGTCTCACGTCACAAATATCTGACCCCCCCCCCACTCGGTGTGTGACGTCATTTATGGACGGCCCCTTACCCTCAACCTTGGGTTATTTTGTTCATGGTTTCAATGGGATTTGATAAAACAAATAGTACCAAAAACATCCGTCTGCGTTTAACATTGAGTCACGATAACTTCTGAAAAGGATCCACTATACATCTTTAGAAGGTGTTGGTATGAGACTCACCCTACAAGCAACCTGGCAAATGTCCCAAAACCTGGACAAAAACCAATGATGGAGAAGCCTTTTCCGTCAAAGGCAATGACATTACACACGCCATGCACCTATGTGTCATCTCATTGTGCAGTTTGAAAGGTAATGTTGCTATTGAAATACTTCCAAGGGTACTCGCACGTTGGAAAAAAAATATACAATCCATGTTTGTATGATTTTTCATGTGTATGCTGACAAACGATGCTTGTTTTAATGAGGTATGTTTTATGGTTTTTGTTGTACTATTATTACATTAAACATCGTTTTTGTAAAAAAAAAACAAATATCAAAACTCAGATGTTATGCTGTATTTAATTGTATGCCCACATACACAACTTATATTCAGTTTATATTTTATTAGAGCATTTTGCATTTAATATAATGCATATAGTTAGGCATAAAACAAAAGAAACTGGTTTTGTTTACATTCCAGGCATTTAGCTACAATTTATATGACAGAAATGCAATACACTTTGGGTTCATTAAGCATCTATAATTGTATCTCAATGCGAAACTTTAAGAAGCAACGGCATTTATCGGCTGTTCCGTTAGCAAAAAAATGACATACATCACGATACAAAAAACTTGAATGTATTATTACTTTTATCACCAGCAGTGTGTAGTTGAAGTCAGCATTACAATAACGACTTCCAAATCGAATTGTAACTTGGCCGAAATGTTTTTTTTACACAAAATATAAACACTTGAATTAAAATTGGTGAAATGCGTGGTGCAATGAATACTATAGGATGCCCCAACATGAATGTTGGTGACAACTGTATATAAAAA